GCTTGCTTGATGCTGAGGATGGGTGGTTCCTGGACGATGTGACAGTAAAGGCTAGGTTTGGAGGATAGTGAAAGTGGAGTGCAGTTCGCTCGGGGGTCGTAAAGACGGACAGTCGAGGCTGAGGACAAACACACCGCATCGCTCGGCACAACAACCACAACTTTTCTCTGCGCCCCCTTTCTCCTTGCTCAAACAAGCACCACTAAACGCAAGCACTACCATACATTAATCTGCCAACATGTGCTTTTGGAAAACGTTCGTCTGCTTCCGCCTACTCGACCTCGTCTTCCTCGAGCGACGAACCCAATGCTCGTCCTATCGAGCTCGAGACCGTGCAGCCCCTTACTGCACCCTATCATGCAGTTCGCACCGCTACCATCCCGCAATCTGCTCGACCTACTATCCGCCTCGTCAGCGAGACTTCTGCGGTCTCTGATACTCAGCAGAAGGGTAAGTTGTGGAGTCGTGTGCTGTACGAGTTTTAATAACGATGTCCAGCTGCCAACTAGTGGTTTCGTTAGATCGTTAGGCAGGAGCCCCTCTGATCTAGACTATCAAAGTGGATGGGAGCTGCGTTAGCAAGCACTATAGATCATGCTAGTTCAGAGATCTCTGCCACCTGGCTAGATCGCTTGCAAGGATAGATTGCAATCAAAATGTTCTTTGTTCTTTTTGATATCGATTCCCACTTCCTTGTTACCAGAAAAAGAACCCTCTTTTCAATAGCCTAACGACCCTCTCCTCCTCCCTACTGCGACCAAAAGCAAGAAGATCAAAAAGAGAAGCGCAACTACCGGGAATCGAACCTGGAACCTTCACCTACGTACCATGATCTGACTAGCAGATCCCCTCTGACCAATGAGGGCCGCCGGCCGCAAGAACCATATCAGTGATGCTCTACCGATTGAGCCACAGCTGCTTTTCTTGGTGTAAGTGTTGGTTTTGAGTGATGTATAAAGCTTCAGAATACAGAAGCACATGCAAATAGGGAGTGTGAATAATATGTGATTTTACGCTCTCAGTGGACAGTGTCAGGAGAAAGGAATAGTTTATGCATTTTCATAGTGGTATGAAGTCAGAGTGTGGCACGAGAGAACGCTTTGTTGCAACTAAACATCATCTGAACGAAGAGAAAAGGAGCCACTGAGGCTGATCAGGACTGTTGTGAAAGAAAAAAATCGCGTTGGCCGAAAGGAGAGAGAACAAAGGGCAACAAAAGAAAAAAATACAGGCGCAACCGCGTTTCCACCACTTCCGCCCCCGGTATTCCATGGCTGTCAGTTGCCTGAGGAGGAGCAAAAAGTACATGATGGCTGTGTGGTCGAGGGCAGCGATTAGGGGCCAGCTTCATCGGCCACCAAGAATGATTGATCAGGCTCCTGCTCGTTGCGCAGCTGGGTCAGGAGCACAAAGACTCTGGCACGCCCCTCAGCCTCATAGGTCTGCTTGATGTAGAACTCCTCCGTGCCCATGCCAAGTTGACTGAGGCGCAAGTACTCGAGCTCAGGGAGTGCCTGGATGTACGAGAAAACACGGAGCCATTCGAAACTGTCACAGACATCGACCAGACGCTTCCAAACATTTGATCTGGCAGTGTTGTGTTCGTGGTAGAGGCGCAGGTTCTCCATGGTGAGTCTGCGGATAGGGTTCAGTCGCGTGTCGTGAAGAAAAAGGAGGTCGTCGCACACGGAGTCCTTGAGGGTCAGAGCTGTAAGGCCGATGCGTCTGAACCAGTGGCCGGACATGTCCCAATGGTGGATGGAGATGTTGTTTGCAGTCAAGGCGCGGGTCTGACGACAGAGAGTGACGCTGGGATGTGGTGATGATGATTTGATAGATGGCACGAAGCGGCAGACGGTTTTGAGGTCCTTGGGAACTTCGAAGGTGAGTCCTCTGAGGGTTGCGCCGCCTTCGAGCTCGTCACAATCAGGGCCGAAGGTCACCAACGGCGGCTCTGAGCTGGTGTGGTTGGCATTGATGACGAAGTCATGCAAGACCTCTTTGATGGGCAGCTTTGCTTGGAGCACAACAGGAATCAAGTCATCGAAAAGTAATTCTGTCGTTCTCTTCAACGCCTCAATGTCGATTTGGTCGTTGGCGGAAGGTGAGTCGCGGCGTACGCCCACTGATTCCAGCTTCTCGAACTTTTCCAGCTCACAGAAGCCTAGGTAGAGGAGAAAGAGCAGCTCAGACTCTGCCTCGGTCACTGGTTTGGCTCTGAAGATGATTCTCTTGACGTATTTGCGAGAGGGTTGAGTGCTCAGGACGCACAGCTTCTGAAGTCCGTCCATAGAAAAGTCGACGAGTGTCTCGGACAGGTGCACGATAGCGAATGGAAATGAGGTGTTGGCTTGTAGTTGCCTATTCACAAGGCGAAGGTTGAGGACATCTTCTGGGTCTAGGTGCGCGCACACCATGAGGGTCAGGTCGTGAGGTAGGTCGGTGATGTTCGCAGCCATGTTGCTGAAGGATGCTTGTTGCTGGATGATGCTTGTTCCGCTGTTGTAGGTAGCAAGGAGATAGCTGTTACGAGTGGAAAGATAGGGGAGATGCGGTTTGAGGACGCGTTTCGTCGAAAAGTGTCGTGGTTCACGACTGATCCAAGCTGAGCTGCAGGAGCGTCGATGGACAGTGAAGAAACAAATCGACGCTCAGACATCGGTATCGTGTCGAGAGTCTCCTTTCAGCCACCCTTCCATAAACACGATGGATGCATGTTTCTTCACTAGTGAATATTGGTAGCTATCAACCTCTATATGATCAACATGACAGGCATCAAGGAATCGCGAGATGTCAATCGCTCACTACTCAACTCGTTTTTCTAGATCAGGGGCTACGTCACAAGATTCGATTTGTCTACAGTCAGGATGGAGGAGAATATAGTGAACATCCAAGCATTGCGATAAGAGGTTACATGACTGTGATACTGTAAAGCACTTAGGAGACTCGAAGTCTGGGCGAGAGAGCAGGCCAGAAAACGTAGGGCGAAGTCTAAGACTACAAAGGAAAGGCCACAGAAGGACAAAGCCGGGCCGAGGCCGAGGAGCTAGCCGGAACAACACAAAGGTTCCCTTGATGCTTGAATTCCCTCCTTCGCTGATCGGCCGTCTGTGAAAGAAAAAGTAATTTTTTCGTGAGAGAAGGAAGTCGTGGTAGGTCTGGGCGGTTGTAGAGGTGGTCGCTGGTGGAATCTGGTATATTGTCCCTTGTTGAAGTTGATTGTGATCAAATTATTCTGTGTTGAGATGGATATAGACGCAGAGAATGACCAGTTGTCGAAGCTTGCCCCCAAGGAGCGAGCTCGTGACCATCTGACCGAGCTGTCATGCTTGTATGCTGCCGTCTGCTTTTCGTTGGGAGCTGTAGGTATGAGGCGAAGATCGTGCATAGCTTCCAGGCATCAGAAGCTTAGACTTGGGTCCTGGGTGCCTTTGATGGCAGAGTGGTCGTGGTTGACTTCTTGTGGGACTTCTTGTGGAAGAACCTGGTCTTTTTGCTCTTCGGCGCCTTCTTACGAGGCTTTCCTAGATGGTTAAAGGGGGAACGCTCTTTCTTGAATGCGAGACGTGAGCATTTCTTCAGACAGAGATCGGTGAGTAGCTCTTGAACATCCTCTACGCTGTCAGCCTCCCAGGTCACTCCCGTGAAGATACTACCATCGTTCGTCGAAAGCCGGCCTAGGACACAGTGTGCTAAAGAGTGACACTGGGAGACCAAGGAGTCAAGGAGAGTCTGCCATGTGCCATGCCATCCCGGACGTTGGAACGTCGCGAGGCCAGCGTGTGGTCCGGCATGGTGTTGATGGATACGGACGAGCCGGGCATCCTTGACCGAGAAGCTTTCTAAAGAGGGGCTCAAGGCTAGGCGACGGAAGATTCTGGAATGAATCGCGCATTGCGACAGTTCGATGATGCGGAGCATGGGTTGAGACAGGAACCATGTATCAATTACCCTCCAATGTTCATTCGAGAGGCGAGAACCACTGAATGCCCCTGCTCCGCGGCTGTATGTCATGATGGGCGATTTGCGTGTACCCTCGACGCCCTGCTCCAGGAATCTCAGAGAGGTTGCGACTCCAGTGAAGTTCGAAACTTCCAGCTCGTGCATGATAGTGTAGATGAGTTGAAATTCCGAGTCGAATGCTCCGTAGCTGCTACGGCCTGGAATGCCATCCAAGAAGGCAATCTGGGGCATCTCGAGCTCGAAGATGACATTGGTCATTGCAAGCCCGGCTCTGTTTGCCGTGAGGAGCGTGAGCTTCAGAGTTGCTCCAATGTCTTCGTAAGCACGTTGCTTGCTAAGCTCAAAGTCGAGTCCGTAGTTGCCATGGCGGACGCCGATCGAGGTCAACTTCCCGTAGCAGGCGAGGTTCTGGAATATCTCGCTCATGAGGTTGTGATATGTCGCCGGTCTGGTGTTGTTGCCGCCTTGTACGATGATCAGGGTCTTGAGACATCGCGCTTTGATGGGGTCCACGCTGAGATTCAGCAGGGCCAATAGGCCTCCTTCTGACAGGTTGAATGTTCTATCAGTGGCGAAGATGGAGGCCATAGTCGGTTGCAGAGAGGCGTAGAGGGTGCTGTTGGTGGCGCACAGGCGTAACACGTCCCGGTCGTCGACAAGACTTGCGACCATGAGCTGAAGCTCGACAGGTAGGGCGGTAAACGTCGACATGCTGACGGTGTCCTGGTGAGAGTTTGACGATTGTAAGGTGATGACGCTGTCAGGCTGCAAGGTCTCGAGGATGGAGTGGGAGAGAGCAAAAAGCGCGAATTAGGATGACTTCGAAACGGCCTTCGTTTCTATGCGCAATCAATCTCTCACGGCCAATAGAGTCAGCAGTGCAAACAGAAATGCAAACCGATCCCAATCTCTCAATCCTGCTTCACTATAGCCGTCGCAACACAACAACACAACAACACGACCTGCTTCAACTTGAACACCAGAGAGAGCGTCCCATCCACCTTGTACCACGAGCATCTCCTCTACCACCAACAACCATGGCTCCCTGGTACCACCCACTCGCGAGCCCACTCTTCCTGACTGGCGTCATCATCAACGCCGTCCTCGCCTTCTTTTTCCCCTGTGCGGTCAGAAACCGCGGCCCTGGGGTTTGGGTCCCCATACTTGTCACCATGTTGATCGTGGGCGCCGTGCAAGCCGCCTATGGTAAGTCAACTCTATGCGTTACGTCCGACATCTCTAATATAGTTCTTGTAGTTTTGGTGTCCCTGTGCATCGAGCAACCAGCCATCGACCCACTCGCCCTCGCCGTGCAGACCGGCAATCCTATGGTCGAGGTGGAGCCATTTGGCATCTCCAGCTCTGATGAAGACAACAACAGTAGGCAGTAGTAATGCAGCGAGTTGTTAGCATCCGCGATTGGGAGAGGGAGAGATATGTACGAGTAGTCGGCGCCTCAAAAAGAATCCGACTCCCTGCTTCGTCGACCACCCATTTGACCCCTATAAAAGTTCATGATATGTTCCAACTTTTGACTCGTTAGCAAAGAATTAACGCACAAGAGGTGATCTCCTTGGACACGGCTGGCTGACTGAGAAGGGTTATGTCTTTTTACTGCTGTGTGTGGATAAGTCGTGGGCACTCAGATCTTTACTATCACATCTGCATACAGAGAGTGAGGAACAACGAGAGGTGAAACATGTATGATGTGAAAGCTATACGAATCCTCAACTGCGGGATACTGCAAAAAGAAAACAAGCAAATCAATGAACGCCTCTCCCATGCAAAACCATTCCTAAACTCCTTTCCTTTGTGGGTATCTTCCAGCCGTGATAGTGATCTTCATAATGTCGTTATTCAGTTCGCAACTTCATTCGTGTTTGGATTGTTTCTGAGTGCTTGACCTAAGTCCTGTGGAGGAAAGCAACTGGTTGTGGCCAGGATAGTATTGCTTAGCCTAGAGTTTGTGACCCAGGAAGACAGCCAAGGTGTCCATGAGCTCAGAGCTGCAGATGTTAGCGACGCACGTTATTGATAGGGAGCAGTATAAACTTACTCAAGAGGGTCATTGAGCTGAGGGATGGTGCCCTCCAGCATGGCAAGGGCGTCTTCGCGATGCAGGTTCTGGTACTCGACGCTGTCGGGTCCGAACAGAAGAGCGACNTAGGGTTATCGTTAGTATGGCTGCTTACAAGCCCAAAAGGAGAAAGGAGAAGCAAGGGACTTACCACGCTGGTGCTCCATAGCACGTTGAGCGGCCTCATCCTCAGGGGCGACGGTAGTGGGAGCGTAGACAATGTTGTGCTGCTCGTCGTCTTCGTTGTTGACAGATGAAGCAACGGTGTTGAACGAGTTGATACGGCTGGATTGCTCGAAGAGCACAGAGGGTGTGGTGGAGCAGGGCGAGGAGGCGTAGGACAAGTCATTTTCGTTGTCGAAGGAAGAGCCAGCGACAGCGAGTGCGTATCTAGCCTCGTGCTGGTCATCAGAAGGTGAGGCCAGTGCCTTGCGTGCCTTTCTGGGTGGTGCGGAGAAGACGATGGGACTGGCGAGATTGACCTTCTCAAAGTTGTCGTTGATGGTGAACGAGTCGATAGGGCAGTAGATGCTGATCGAAGCATGGTCGAGCATGGCAACTGACTGAGGAATGGGTTTGGTAGAAGTGGGGATAGAGGAGACAGCCTTCTTGGTAACGAGCTTCTTGATGGTGATAAGGCGGATGGCAGGGGTGTCGTCCGAGTTGGCGGCGCCAGCAATCTTGCAGCACACGAGGAACTTGAAGATAGACATTTTGAGTGTTTTGATGAGCTGTGAGAATGTGTTTTCGATGGAAGAGTTGTGGATGATGATGTGTATAGAGTCAAGAGAATTGTAGTTGTGGAGAGCACGCGTGGGGATGTGGTGGTAAAAGAGATGGCGAGAGGCGAGTGTGAAAGTGAGCTTTACTTGTAGGAACGAGCCGCGAACGCCGAGCCTCCAGCCACCCCATCCATGAACTTCTATACCAAAGCTTTTTATCACATCATCTGCAAACGGACTATCTTACGTGTGATAGACGTGTCTGAGATCTGACACCAACAAGTCATGCCAGATCCGACATACCTGTATATCTGCCAGAGCTTCCAAATGTTTGGCTTTCTTCGAGAGCTGTTGGTAGCTCTTGTAGCGCTTTGGACCATCGGTCGGGATCGCCAATATTAGTAGCATCTCTCCAAACTTGACGTGGTGGTATGCGGACGTGCCAGAGGACCACCGCCCAGGAGGATCAAAGTCTACAAAAAACCGTCCAACAATCGCCCTTCTGATCTGGTTTACATGGAATGGGGAATACTGCCGGAGGAAGGAGAGAAAGGGAGGGGGAGTTTTACAATGCCGTAGCTTGAGTCGTACTGGCTATGGTCTTGCTTGAAACTCGACTGTTCGTTAAAATCAATCAACTTGTCATGCGTGGAACGAGTCCCAGGTGTGCAGTCGATCTACGCTTCGATGAACAGGGGTTCGCAAAGAGCATGTGTCAATGCTGGGGTCTCTTGCCTGATCCGGCAAGACTCTTTGTGCTACGATGATTCCTCAAGTTGTCCGCATTTTCTAACAGCCACGATCAGGAGATATTAAAGTAAAAGTCCGGCAGGCCATACGCATATCTGGATACGTAGTACATTTGTTAGGTTGACACATTGGTGAGACTGAGGAATGACCCTGCCTGATGTGGTCTGATGTGAGTGGAAGTACGTGTCTGTTCTTCTTGTATCTTGATCAGAGAATTTTGCGTAGCGGAATGATATACTATCAGAACTGACGAATGCGATCTTTCATTGTCATGAAGCAAGCGGGATTGTTGAAGAAAATTCAGAGGATGGAGTCGAAACCGGCGTCTAGAATTGATAACCGAAGTTCGCCGAAGTTGAACCTTCTCAGACTCGACGACGTCAACTCGCCCCGGACAACCTCCAAGCATCCTCGAAGTCTACACCACTTCTTCACGACATTGGCATTTTATTGCTTTTGCTTGAGATTCCGAAAAGTGGCTTCACGTTTCTGGAGTTCTTTGTTGGCACAAGCGACGCGACAAAGACCAATCGTGAACAAAGGAATCATGTCCGACCAGCCCACCGACGCCCGCGAGCGTCTCCGCCAGAACTTCCTCGATCATGATCCTAAGCATCATCCAAACCGCTGGGAGCATCTCTGGCAACAAGATGACTTGCCATGGGACAAGGGCTTTGCTTCGCCTGCTCTAGCAGATGTTCTTGCTGATAGAAAGGACCTGCTTCCTACTGCACCGTCTGGCCGCCGACCCCGCGCTTTGGTGCCCGGCTGCGGCAAAGGATATGATGTGCTCTTGCTTGCCAGCTGGGGATTCGATGCTGTCGGTGTTGAGGCTGCTGCGACTGCAGTCAAGGCTGCCAATGCTGAGTCCAAAGGTTGGGAGGAGAAGCCTGAGTATGCCGTCAAGGACGAGGCGAAAGGCCGCGGAAGTGCCAAATTCGTGTTCGGGGATTTCTTCGAGAAGGAGTGGGAGAAGGATGCGATTGGCGAGGATGGCTCAAAGGATGGTCAGTGGGACTTGATTTATGACTACACCGTAAGTCCATGTTCCTCGAGCCTGTCGAGAAAGGTGGATAGCTACTGACCATACAGTNTCTTGTGCGCTTTGCCTCCAGCTCTGCGGCCAAACTGGGCAGCTCGTCAGTCGTCGCTGCTGTCACCAACTGGCCGTCTGATCTGTCTCGAGTTCCCAACTTACAAGCCTCCCTCAACCGGTGGACCTCCCTGGGCTTTGCGACCGGAGACTTATCTTGCTCATCTGAGCCGGCCAGGAAAGGAAGTTGAGTATGACGAGGAAGGCTTTGCTATCTGGAAGGAGGGCGAGTCTGCTGAGAAGGGCGCCCTGGAGAGGATCGCGCACTGGAAGCCGGAAAGGACACACAAGATTGGTGAAGGAACTGACAATGTCAGCGTTTGGAAGAGACGATGAGGAATGCCGCGTTTTGTGTATTGTGCCATTTTTATCGCGTCCAGAAATCTCTTGAGAACATCATTTCTTCACCGGGCTTAGCCATAATTCAGTCCGTGCAATGCTATAGTAAAGTCTTCTCGAAGAGTCGTGAACGGAAATGACCTGATCGATCCTCGTCAGCCGCAGCTTCACTTCGCCGGCGGCCAGTGCTCATTTTCTCCATGCGACACCTCACACAACTCGAGACTATCCTGCTTCCTCTTCTTCTTGGCGAGAGGAACCACCATGGGCGCCGCCATCTCTTCTTTCGCTACTCGCGCTCGCGCCCGCTCCCGCCCTCGCCCTTACCGCCCGCTCTCTTCTCCACCTCCGCCGTCAGAAAATACTCTTCGCGCCATGGAGTGGCAGCAACGTCAGTAGTAGCCCCCTTGATCTGGTCTCGAGACCACGCTGAAAGCTTGATAGTCCGTAACAGTCAAGGCCCTGCGAGCTCAGAGTTCACCACCTTCGCCCACAGCGCACACACACTCGGCGCTCTTGAGGGCAGAGTTGCAGAGCCACTATTGTAAGTCAATTGTGTGATCTAAGATGATTCTCAATACTGATGCTCCTTTTGACTGGACTCATTTGGTACATGCCTGGCTTGAACGGCGGATGAAAGTCTTTTGCCAGCGAAAAAGCCTTTTCGCGGAGAGTTTTTGCTTGTTGAGAAACCATTGAATTTCATCTTGTCCTGCATTCTTGATGCCTTGCCTGATTAGTCCAAACTTCCCCGTAACCTGTGAACGTTTATACGAATGCACAAAAACTGCCTCAGACTCGAGTCTACTATCACCTCATCATGAACCGCCGCTGCCATGGTTGCTGCTTCTTACCCTCATATCGCCATCCATGCGAGCAGAATTCTTCTCTTGTAAGTCAGGCAAATCGGGCTGCTCTGTATCGATTGCATTATTGTAAGACGATGGAGTAGCGGTACGCCGGGTGCAGTGCTCGAAGCCGTTGAAGCGTACGACATTGCTAAGCTGGCTTATCTGCGCGCAGAAGTTGGAGGGAGACGCCCTGGAAGAGGTCATTGCGGGATCTTGGCCGTTAGCCAGTCCAAGAGTTGAGCTTGTGGTACAATCTCCGAGTCGGGCGACATCGTGACAGTGTGCGAGGTGCCATCAACGACGAATGTACGTTCTTCTTGAAGGCAGCCCGAAGGTCCGCAGGCGGCGCTAAATCTCGGGTAGACAGGAAGAGTATTGTCTATACCCATCGAGTCCTGACAACGGCGGTGAGGGTGATGGTTCCAGTGCTCCGCGATGATGGCGTGGCCTTTTGTGATAAATTCATGCCAATCCTCAGGGTGTGCGCGGATAGTGTCTGTGTCAATGAAGGCAATACCGAGCTCTGACATGAATGTTGGGTACTTGTAACCACGAGGGCGATGCGTGTCTTCCGGCAAGCAACAGCTTTCNCCTGTATGTCAATCAGCAGCTGATCATACATAAAGAGCAACTACGTACGTGTCGAGAGAGAGGATACGGATATTAGGTCCGTTGGTTGGCCAGGCTGTCTTGGGTGGAGTACCCTCCTCAATGCTGCGCACTTCGTCGACCTGAGCAATGTCTTCGAGGAGCTCCCCGGTGAGCTTGACTGTGCTTGTTGCGTCCGTAACAGCACAATGTTGTACGTCGTCATTGTCAAGACGAGCCATGCCATCAGGATATCTTTCGAGCAGTCTCTTCTGGGTAGTCATACCGCGCCCAAACTCCTCAAAAGCCTCGATCAGTTTGTATTGACCTGTAGGCCCTTTGCTCGCCACTTTGCCTCTTGGTCGCTGATGTTTGATCATCGGCTGGATGTCGAAGGACCTCCAGATGTACTTGTCGAAGTCGAACCCGAAGCTTTGTAGCTGCTGCTTATCGCCTTTTGCGTCCCAGAAAGTAGTGACAATTGGTAGGTGATTCTGGGGAAGGTCGGAAGATAGGTATGCGGCTGAGCTGAATGACCAGACAAGGTCATGTATGTTGCTCGATGTGCAATCCTGCTGAGATGAGGTTGTGACAAGTTGCTTGAAAGTAGCCATAGATGCCTCGACGTTGTGATGTCCTGGGCGTGGGACTTGGTAACTGAAGATCGTGCGTTGGAGGATAGAAGAGAGCGATTGGGTGCGAGTACAGCGTGGCAGAAGGCGGTGGAATAATGCAAGCGATGCTCACCAACTCAAGCTTTCCAGTCTGTTCTGCAGAAGTTTCAAACCTGCTGTAGGGAGGCTTGCTGTGTTGTATGGCTCCTGAGAAGAACAAGAATCTATCGGAATTCTAAGCACGCGTCAGCCCCTATATCCTACCTTCTGTCCGTAGTTGAATCTTCCAGCGCAGCTCATGAGCAAATCAAATAGTACACAGCTGTGTAGCGCGGTAGATGATGAGACGTTCTGTCCAAGGGATGGTCCACAATGACAACCTATCGTGAGAGCTTCTGGGAGTTTCTGTTCGGGGGCGGCCCATCGGACAATGCGTATCAACACAGGAAGGCTTACCTCTAGGGGTCAAAAAGATCATGTCCATGTCACGTCTCTAGTCGAATAACAGTAGCAGAACGTTCAATTTACGATAGGCCGCATAGGATAATCGTTGTGTTGCCAAGACTGTCGAGACGAAAAGCACAAAACACGTCCCTACGTGTCGAGTCATCTTCCGCACATTTGTCTCACGCGACTTCTCCTCTGCACAAACATCTGTCCAACATACCAACAAAACACTCCATCAACCACCTCCATCCCATGAACACAATGTCTACTACTCTTATGACCCCCTTCCTGATCATTGTATCAACCCTCAACTCCGTGCTGCTCACCCTGACCATCTGGGCCGCGCTTCAAATCCACCACCAAGACTGGTGGGTTGTCTTCATGATCGCCTTCTTCATGGGTCTCGCCTACGAGATCGACTACAGTAAGTCCTTTCCTGCTGCTCATCCGTTGAGCACAACTGACCTGTGTAAAGTCCGTCGCAAGCTCTCGGGCCACAACTCTCGTCGCTCTATCGAGCTCCAGACCCGCGGAGGTGACTTTGAAGTCCAAGACAGTAACATCACTCGTCCCATGGCCGCATACACTCGCGCTACGCCTTGTCGCCCTGTTACTCCTGCACTCGTTTGAGCTCTGAGATGGTAAGTTCCACGACCAGGTCCCACTGGGCCTAACTAACAGGCGTTCGTAACAGACCGAGCCAGCATATTCTCTCACGGCCTGATCGCCCTTCCCAACTGTTGTCGTCCGTCAAGACTTTGTTACTTTCACAATCAGCGCTTTCTTCTGCCTTTGTCTTCCCCTGAGCTTTCCCTCCAGCAATGGTTAGCCATCTGTCTTCTGATCAATCGAGGACACGGCTCAGCTTCTCTTGCATGCTCTGCAGTCTTTTCCCCAACGGCCTCGATGACAGACATATGAGTGATCCACGGCATGATTGTTATCGAATTTCGGGCAGAGGATTGACATGAAGGGATCAGAAGTCGCTTCTGCATTGATGAAATCATGATTTGGGCTTGCGCAAATCTTGCTAGTACAGTCACCCAAAACTCAATGAAAGCACAAAAACATGGATTCTTCTTTGCTATACCACATACATATCCCAATCAGTGTTGTTGCTCCTCACTCCTCGATCTTCTTGAGTGTAAAGTCGTCTCGCGTTCTAGCTTGTTGCTCTAGTACTGCGAAGGACTGTTCATGGCCGACGCTGTACGCCTGTTCGATCTAGTTGATCTGTCCCGTCTGACAATAGGAGATGGCTGAGCAGGCAAGGCAATACCAAGATGAGTCGCGATATCGCCCAAGGCTGGAGTCTGAACGCCAAAGTGTGCTGCATGGCGGGACATCCTGGTCTTGTCAAAAGGTTGCCCAGATCTGTAGCGAGTGATAGGTACTGATGCAAGTGCAAAAGGAGACTCTGGCGAAGCAAAAGGAGGACTTGATGTAGGCGATTGAGAGGTGGATGTAGCCAGAGGAACACCAGATGAGTCAAGGACAGTTGCCTGGTAGCTTTGGCTTCCCTCTCTCTCGTTTTTGAATCTGTCTCTACAACCGACTTGGCAGCGAGACGTGCTGAGCGACGAGGAGCTGTAATAGTGACTTCATCTTTCGTTCTGGGTGCCTTCGATGCCTTGAGGCTCTTCTGGGTCGTCTTAGGGGTTACGGCGTCCTTGGACTTTACGACCTTCGTAGCCTTGGTAGCCTTGGTAGCCTTGGTAGCCTTGGTAGCCTTGGTCGCCTTCGCAGTCTTCTTGAAATTATGTTTCTTGGGTGCCATGTTGGACGATCTATCTTGTGGTAATGCAAGTATAGAGAGCGTGTGAAGTACAGAGTATAGAGTTGGTTTATAGAGGCTGGTGTGGCTTTTCGCGAACTTCAGGGTTCGCCGGATCCGGCGATACCGTACTCTGCAGGGTGCCTGACAAAGAGAACTTGTCGCGCCTGATATTTCTCGTGGAGGTAATCAGCACTGGACAACGTCGTAATCCAGTACACAGTGCCTAGGAGTCTGCCAGAGTGCCCAATGATGTTACACAGCGCGATCAGCTATCAGTGGGGCTGTTCCCCAGAGTGAACGGTTTAAGAACATTCCGTACGGTACGAAAAGACTTGCACCATTGTTCATGGGTTCTTTGTCTCTGCATCTGTATAGCTGCAGATGGCTCGGCAGTCTTCAACTTCAACAAAGAATCATGTGTGATAATTTCACATAGTACAACGGAGCATCTTGAGAATCAAGTCAAGTAGAAGTGACGTGTGATTCTATAGTCTAGTTACGATGGTCTAGTACGCATGAACAAGACGCCAAGTGGCCGCCGTATTGATCGACATGGTTCCCCCATCACCAACCCCTATATCCGCTCATACCAAAGCACCTCAGTAGTACAACAGGTCGTCTAGAACGAGAGTTAGCAATGCACATCAAAATTAGAACGAGTGGCAACTTGCACAACTGCCCAAGCTCTTGACGTAGTCCTAGCTTCCAGAGCCTGGACCACTTTCTCAAGCGGGTAAAGCTGTTGTCTGGTCTGTCCAGCTAGATGTCGAGGCTGTTGCCCAGGCCTTGAAAGCTGGATCTCCATTTCGAGGAGTCTGTCTGCATGCTCACTGGCAGCTTTGACGTACAGACGAGACTGATTGTAGTTGTGAACCTTTGTAGACTCCCTAGCAAGATTCTGGTACTTGTCGAGCCCATGCTTGAGGACGACAGTAGCGTCGAGGTATCTTCGACCTTGCTGGAGGCTGCTATCGAGGGCTCGTTGCTCACGAGTTAGTCTGATGACCACTTCGTCGCAGAAGCCAATGTCTTCAGCTCGATATAGACGGCGCTTTGCTTTGCTGACCCGATGTTCGAGGCTCCGAAGCTCATTCAACAATGCAGGCAGTAACGATAGCTGGGAAGCGCGAAAGGTGTGCATAGCTCTGACAATCTCTTCTGGTTGGAAAGTCGCGATAGCCATCATGACGTTGTCGTATGTGACAGGCTGCTCTTCCGTAACGGCTCGAGCATAGGATGGCGGCTGTTCAGTTGCCTGTTGATAACTTGGAGGAAGTCCCTCAGAAGAGGTAGGTCCTGGGATGCCTGAAAATGTCTTGTCGCCGGGCTCTGTCGAGGAGAGTTGTCCATATCTACTCTGTAAGTCTGTATATATGTTAGTGTTAGCCTCATGGCAGTCTTCACAAGGTCGATGCAGCTTGATCGTGAGTTGGCTCTCCTCAACTTTGCAGACGGGATTGGAAGAACGAGGCGGCATGCTTTTCCGACTCGATTTGCCACAAGAACATATGTGGACCATGATTGTTTGTGCACACATCCTTCTTACTTGTTCTTCACTTTCGATCGTGCCTGCACGAGTAAATGAGAGTCAGTTTGATGGTGTAGCTCTTACGGCTGGAAGGCAGAGACTGACCATATATCAGAATGCATTGTCCTAGACAACCTAATTGTATTGTCTCTTTGTTCTTCAGTGACGAACGCCTTTGTCTGATCGCCCCTTTGTTGAGATTTCTTTGTCTCATCAGTCCAATTGATCTGGTCTCAGACACGAAGGAACGGTCTGTTGCTGGACTTGGGTATACAGATGAATTACAAATGGCATAGTTGAAACAACTTGATGCGTTTGATGTACCAGATGTTGGGAAATACTTGGGCCTGTGATGGAATTATCTTGAAAGTGGAGACAGGTACAACCTCAAACTTCTAAGATACGACTGACCGCGCCTTTGTCTCTTGTCAGGATCCCGGATTTCTTTGTCAACATTGCAGGTTCAAAGTTATGTCTTTGTTTCTTACAATTGATTGACTTAGCTGCAGTTTGCTTCTACGAATACTTAGTCTCCCTTCGAGTGCTCCGTCGACCTAAGCTACAGTTGTCTCAACACCACCCAAGATCCACCGCAGACCCGACGCAGTAACTCGAACCAAGTAAGCAAAACATCTCAAAGCTCGGACATCTCAACCAAAAAACCAAAATGTGCGTCGGTTCAATCGTCACCATCGAGTGCAGCAACTGCAGCTCCACCTTCGAAAAGTCCTCGTATCTTGGCTGTGCCACCTACGAGCACTCTTGTGGAGGCTGGGAAACACGTACTGACTCCATCATCAGCAGATCCATCTACTCCATCCCCATCTGCGACGACTGCTCCGACTTTGCCTCTTCCTCCGACTCTGATGACTTACCTTTGAGATCAGCTGACTCTGTTTCAAGTATTGACTCTATGGCGGAGTATGATACGGAGGTCAGTGATTGTTTGACTTCTTACTACTCACTCGGTAAGGCTTCTGCGCTTACTGAGGTTTGGTTTAGACGTGCTGTTGGCTCTCTTGAGAACTTTACTGGGTCTATGAGTGCATTGATTGACAGAATCATTACTCTCNCCTCGACCACCGCCACTGAAAAGCTCAAACTAAACATCTTTCTCATCTACAGCGAATGCGATGCCTATCTTGCATGGACCGAGACCGAGAACAGCCGCGCCATGACGACTGAAGCCAAACTCTCTGGAATCCTGAACAGCACTGGTGTCACTGACAAGACCAATGCAACTAACGTTGAAGACATGACTGCAGACATGGTTGAGTTGTTCGAGGACTTGACAAACTTCCACCCACACTATGATGTTGAGTACAATGCTGGTAGGTTTGAGGGTTATATGAGTGTCTTGACAAGCAAACTCGAGGAGCTTGAGACTGATGCTGTTGTTGATGCTGCTAACACTGATGTTGCTGCTATTGATGCTGCTGCTGAGGCTTTTTCTAGTTCTGTTCAGAACTAGATGTGTACTACACGATCTAAAATGTCTGTTTTCCATAAGTATATCAGTGGCCTTTCAGGTCATTGAGTACACCGTCTTTCTATTTATGACTCGAAAAACTAAAGGCTTCGCTCCTGGTGGGTGAGGTCTGATCACAAGATCTTAATTGCACACCATATTTCTTCTGTATCAGTGATATATTTATATAAAACATTGTCTTCTCCTCATGTACTAGATCATCTCATGATTCTATTAGAGATCCTTTCACCTCAACGACACTCCAAGCCATTGTCAGCCATCAAGTTCCTAAAATGGTTCTGACCAACAAGAGAAATAAGCAAAGAAACATCTCCAAAGAGGCGACATGGTAGTTCTCAATCTTCTCGAATGCGTGACAGAAACAAAACCTCGCAACAGGAGCATTTCTTGACAGCACACTATGTTGATCTTTGATCTTTGTGCTGTCCTCAAAAGCCTCTTCTGATATCCTTTTGTGCGACGACAAAACTTTCATTGTTGGCTTTTATATCATTGATCTCTTTTGTTTGACTCCAATGCTCTATTCTTGACGCTATATAAACCTTTGAAACCCCTGGATCATCTCTCAGCTTCCTTTGTATCACCGTCTCCGCTCTCCAGCATACAGGTAAGCATCCCCTACTCCCTCCTCCCCACCAACTACTCCGACAGAAAACACAGCAATCATGTGCCATGGCGACTCCATCACAAAAACCTACCCCCACTGCACCACCACAGACCAAACCTTTGATTTCTATGCTTATTGTTCTACCTCTCCTTCCACCAAGACCCCTCCTTTCTCGCAAACTTGGAGGATTTCTCCCTGCGCGATAATTAAACAAGTGTTTGTTAGTACTCCTTGCTCCAAATGTCAGGGTGACTTAGCTTGCTTGGAAACTCTTGATGTCGATTCCGTGTCAGGGTTGCCACTGATGAATTCTGACGATTCCGAGGGTTGTGATAGTGTCAAAGGATACCAAACCACCAGATACGAGGGAGAAGTATATCTCGACTATATAGCTTCAATGGCGAGATGGTCGAACCCACGATGGGTCACTGAAGCTGAAGAAGTAGATCCGTCTGAATACCACCTCAGAACAAAGTTCTTAGTGGTATGGAGACATTTCATCTTACTGTTTCCTTTTGCTCTACCATATCAACAACCTGACCCCCCATCTTGATAGCAAAATTTGAGATTCTGGAAGCAGAAGTCGCGGCTACATTATTCTTCAGCTCTGTTAAAGGTCGAGTGGGTGATTGAGAGAAATACTTGGATACGTTTGGCTATCAATGATGACACTATCCATCCCGACGACCTCAGATTTGCACTGTTTGAGTTGAGAATGGGATATATTGCTTTACTGTCTGACGAAGATATGACTGTAAAATATGTCTTGAAGTGGCTCAGTGACATGGCATTTGAAGTTATTGACGAGTTGTGAACTGTGGAGGAAGAGATGAAAAAGAAGTCTGGAACTTCTGATAAGATTCAGCTTGTTGAGAAGACTGGTGATGCCGAATTGATGTCGAGATTTTGGGGTAAAGGTTTGGATTTCGTGACCATCAGTCTTGTAAATCGCTTGTTCGTAATTCTTACGAGATATATTCGATGATTAATTAGTAAAGTCTTCTTTCCTAGCAGATTTATCATGTTCATGAACCCGTTTCCAACATCAAACAGTATACCTCTTTGCCTCCCGTAAACCTGCACAGCAAAGAGTCCATGCTTCTACAGCTTGATTCGATACTTTGTAAGCCGAATACCACAACAGCCCTACCTGATCTCCACGAAATTTCCTGAGCAACAAATCTCTTCGATATAAGACTGATGTCGAGTCCAACTTCTTGATCCACACTTGAGAGATTCTTGTCTCTCACAGGTTTTGCGAGGTTTCACAGCAACCCAGAAGGAAGAAGAAGCAAAGTCAACATCAATCGGTCAGATGCAGCACTTCTCCGCGTCTTTGCACTCGTTTTGTGACACCGAGGTCTCGTTAGACAAGCCGAACGCCAGACCCTGAAGAGCGTCGATAGAACTCCCACACCATTGGCGATAAGCACTGATATTCGTGCCTGCAAGGTGACCGAGGAAGAAGTTCAATTGTCAAAAAACCCATTTCTACGCAGCAAAAACGGCTGGAGGATCTTTATGGGCATCGAAAAGGAGAAAGAACATATTGTGGTTTCTTTCCAGCTAGAGGCAATGCAGTAAAGCTAAGAGCCATCTCGACGTCTATTATACAGGAAAGCAATGACCGATCATATCTCAGCAGCTCAGATGGAGCTTTCCATGCCACCGAGCTGTAGGCGGGGTCCATCTCTTCCTGTCCCGGGCATCTGAATTGTTGACGCGACCTTTGACGGCGTGGGACGCAATCGCATTCCTTAGTCTGACTCATCCTCATCTAGATCGAGCAACTCGTACTTCCACTCCTCCCGAGTCTTCTTACCGTGCTTTCTGGCGTGGCGACGAGCTTCAACCGCAAAGGCAGCTTCGTCGTGATGGAAACCGAGCGTGACAGTGGTGTGCNNCTATCAAGGCTGTCAGTGGATTTCGATGTTCATGAAACATCAATGAACTTACACAGCATCGCCAGTTTCAGCNTGAAGAAGCAGACCGTAAATAGTGTCGAGGACGTTCTTGAGACTGGTGTCAGTGGTCCAGTCACGGTCAAAGATTCTGTGACAAATGCGACCGTGACGGTTGATGTTGGGATGGAAGACTGGAGTCACGAAACGACCCTTGGGAGGGAAGGCGGGNAAGTTCTCAGGCATCTCGAGGTACAGCATAAAGTTGCAGCTTTCGTAAGGAGTATCGGGAGGCTGTAACATTCATTAGCAGTTTTTCAGAAGAATCGAGCCGTGGTAAGAGACTTACGCCTGTNNGATGACAACCTTCCAGAAGAACATATCAGCCTCAGAGACGTAACAATCGTACATGGGGTTGGGGTTAGCAGCTATCTCGCGCATTTCGACAAGTAAACGTGATACTCTGAGCGTAGGCAGACTGGACTGGTTGCCGGCATTTGAACGAACGCAATTGACCAGCTGGATAAACTCATCATCCAATCTGGGATGTTCCTTGCGCTTAGGGTACACATCCTGAGTAACGAAAGTGAATGCAGCACGGTTGCGCATAATGTAGAAGTTGTTCAAGGCTGAATTGCGTGCCGTACCAGAAGTAGCAACCACGTTGGAGGCTGGACGCTCAGTCTGAGACAAGACCGGTTCCATCTCACAGATGGCCAGTGCAGTGGTAAGGTCTCTGGGATAGAAACAGTAAGATGCCAGCATGATTGAGAGTGCTTTCAGGTCCATGTTGTCGTCTTGTCCGATGCAGACCGAGTCGACAGCGATCTTGTTTTCACGAAGCTTATAGCAGAGATCCGCAACACCCGTGACGGATTTAGTATCGTTGCCATCAGAGAGACAGATGATACGACGTTGTGCATTAGGGTACTTCTGTGCGTGCTTCATGATCTGAGTTCGTGCAAGCTCGAGACCATCCCAAAGAGCCGTGTCGCCATTTGCGTGCATGCTCTCCACACTTCTCCGGAAGTTCTCGATGACATGAGTGAGCGACTGAGACACCTTTGCTGTCGTTTCAAACGTGACAAGACCGACATGTGTCTTGTACGAGTAAGCAATCATGCGATTGATCATGGCCTCAAACATCTGCTTCAGAACCTCGAGGCGAGACAGACGATATTCACGACCCTTGTGGGAAGAAACCTCAGAGACATAAACTTTCAACACCAGAGGCTCGGCATCTTCGTCTTCGTCGTCACTGTTCCAGTCTTCGGCACCATATCTGCTTGTTACCTCGCTCTTGTAGACAGACTCTGCTTTGAGCGTTCCAAAAGCGTGTTCAAGGGTGAGATAGTGCTCAAGCGGCTCAGCAATAGTCGGACGATTGCCACGATACTGGCTGTCGCCATAAGTCTTCAAATCTGTCCAGATTTCCTGTCTTTTGTAATTCAACCAAGGCTGGGAGGTCCATCTGAAGCGCCAGTACTTGGTCATGAGAGATATGAAGGAGTTCCCTGTGGATTTGGGGACCCAGTAAGAGAACTCCATGCGCGTGTAACTTGTGAAAACTTTGACAAGACAAAGAGACGATGATTCACTCTGGATCGTGTTGGCATCGTCAGCTACAAGGATAGTGATGATACCGCCTCCCACGATCCCTGAATCTGCGAGGGTGGCGGTTGACGGCTGTAGAAGGGCTCCTCTCCACGACAGCTGGAAGGCGTTGTGGCGACCTCTCATGCCCCGGAATGCGACCTTGTACAGATCAACCAAGGTTGTGGTGGTTGAAAGTGCACGGGAGAAGTGGTGAGATGCATTCGAGAAGGTAATCATGTTATGATGGGGTGTGGTGCGGCGACGCTTGTTGACTGGACGCTCCTCTGGCTCGACGAGGTCTTCACCCTGTAGCCATTTGTCTGCCTGATCAGCCAACTCGAGGTCAGGAGTGAGCTCAGTATCCTCAAGCATCAGGCCAGTCAAAGGTGACGAACGTCTGACTGACATCCATTTGGCAATGGCTTGCCGACCATAAACTTGACCATCAGCCGCGACGACAGGGTCCTGGATGAGATCAAGCTGTATGGGACACTTGAGGGCGTATGGAATCAGGGTGACTTCGCTGGGAAGAGGTGGTATCTGCGTTCGTCCGGGAACCGCTTCGCCGAGCTTCCAGGTCCACTTCTTCTGGGTCATGGCCATGACGCGAAGGATGACCATGTCAATAAGCTCCTGCTCAAAACGTTTGAGACCAGCGGCGAAAATCTCGAGGTCATCAATCTTCTTGTTTGTTTGCTGACGCTGCCATTGGTTGTAGAAGGGTTCACGACGTAGCCTTGCCAGCTCGTCTGTAAGCAAATCAAAGATCAGAGTCAGCATCTTACCCGCCACAGTAGCTTTCGCACCGTTGGCAGACTCGAATACCGCACCAAGAACATCTTCATAGACCTCGTGCTCGGAGGTTGACTTTTTCGTGTCTTGCAGTGTGACTTGAGTGTAGACGTGAGGCGAGATCTGAGGGACTTCAGGTTCCTGAACGACGCTCGGACTGTTGTCGATACCAATGAGATCAGTAGACATGGACATACTTGCGCTGCAGTCAACCGCAAACATGATTATCTCGTCAGGGTCGTTGAGAGCGCGAGTCTGAGCAGAGCCGAGTACGTCAAAGACGTTGGTGCCATCTTGCTCGTATCTCTGCAGGACAGGGGCAAGCTTCTGTTCGACATGACCCATGTTCGGGGTCTGCTCTCCATGTAGAGGACGGAAGATGATGGTGTCTTCGCCCGGCATAGCGCAGCCAGCCTTGCCGGTGTAGACGGCGAGATGCCCCCTGGAGTCGAAGGTCAAGTGTTCAGGAGCGACCGAGGACAACAACATTGGTCTGATGACTGATAGGGAGACTTTGCCGCAAAGGTTGGCCAGCTGGTGCAAGTCCCGAAGATCGCCAGGGCTGACGATGTCTTGCAAGGTCTGCGGACGGGCAAAGAGGACCTGAGGAGAGTCAAAGATGAAAACAATCTGCTCAGACTCTGACAACAGGTCCAGATTGAGTAGTCCTGAGGTGGCGTCCGGTTGCACACATGTCGGAGCGGCAAGACGAGATGAGTCTCCGCCAACAGGCACGAGCTCGAAGGACGGAACAGCTGCGGAAGGTTGAAATTGAACCTTGCGAATTTGAGACGAGTAGACGGGCACGGCGAAACTGGTGGACTTGATCTGGTTGGCCTTCTCCATGATGAGGCCGAAAACAAGACGGGCACCCTCGAAAAGTCTGGTCTCGTTGTTTTGGATCAGCTTCTCGTGACCGAGGTCTTCCAGGATGCAATAGAAAGCCTGGCTCAGGGCAGCGCTGGCCAGTTGCGAGATTGTGCGTCCCTGGATCAACAGGTGCAAAGCGCGCACGGCAGGTGGGAAGGAGCACATCAAGTCAAAGACGTAGACGACTCTTTCTCTGTGTTCGTCTGGGATGGAGTTGCTCTTCAGTAGATGGGCAAAGACTCTGAGAGAAGATAAGAACATGGCGACACCACGGTCAGACTGGCGAACTTCGGGCTGCCAGTGATCAGCAGCGGCGTAGAGATCGTTCCTGCCGACTCTGCCAGTAGGCTCAGGCGAGCGAGTGGTCCAAGCAGGACGTGGCACAGCATAGATGGTGAGGACGCCGTCTTTGAGAGATGAGGCGAGGCCAGTCTCTTCAAGAGTCAACTCCAGGCAGGACGGAGTCACAGGCAGCTCGTGGACGTGGAGGTCGAGGATGAAAGCAGAGTCCAACTTGTCGGGACCATTGTCGCCGAGATGACGAACAGCGTCGTCGTGGAGCTGCTGGAGCTTTGCTGTGGCAGGAATGCTGAAGGCAGGGGTAGGCAGGACATTTGGGTCCTTTGTCATCAGCTTGGCAATGGCGGGAGTGATGACGCGGATGGGGATGGCATTGCGGATGGTGAGAGACTGCTGGGCGCCGGCTGCATCATTCCGGAGTCCAGTCATTGTGACATCGTTGGACTGGAAACGGTCAGTAAACAACAGAAGGTAGGAGAGCGAAGGTATGGTTTACCTGAGCCGAGGATCTGTCAGTGGCAGAGTCGAAGACGGCAAAAAGCTGTTCGTCGACGACCACGTCAGACAGAATGTCGTCAGGGTCGAGGATGGGACCATCGATACTGGCCAGGCGCAGAGTGCAGTCGGCGGCGTTGGTCGTTCTGGCGTAGCGAGCTGCGCGCTTGACAATCTCGGTGACGAAGGCGGCGCAGTTGGAAGAAGACTGGAAGGGCACAAGGAGCTTGAGAGGGTCTGGCCAGCTAGTGTCGCTGACAACGACCGAGTAGCGCTGCATGATGGTGCGCGCGCAGAAAAGAAACTGAGAGGAAGTGCAAGATGCGACAGAGGACTGATGTGTAGTTGAAGGGGGAGGTGGGTCAAGAAGGAAGTGAAAAGGTGGTTGACGCGCTGAGAAGGTTGTCGCGTCCGAGAGAGTGAGTGAAGACTAAAAAGACAAGACAGAAGTGCCGGCGTGTCTCGGCGTCGAGAGACACGAGTTGTGTTGGAGAGAAGGTGCGACGCTACAGCTGCCTGCGCTATCGTGTCTTTCGCTCAGAGTCACAGCTCGGATATCAGACGTCTGCCTGACTGCTCACCACAACTCCCTCAAACACTCTCAGCCCATCCGACTTTTTGACAAGCCAGACAGCTTCAATACTGTCATCCAAGACATGCCTGATGCAGTCTTGAGACTGCGTCTTCCGGGTTTTGGAACACTACGTGTCCGTACCTTCCTGCCTGCATAACCTGAGCTTTGTTTGCAGATGTGGACCTACATCTTTGTCGCAAACATGCACCTACCGCATACCTACCTGAACTGGATGGTACAGACATACTGGTTGTCTACCCCTGATGATCAAGACACGTCGAGTCGTCCCAATTGACCCACTGGGCAGCGGCTGGATCGAATCGTTGGGAGGGAAGAGAAGATGGCGCTCAAGAGCTGAAGTCAAGAGAGTCTTCTGCACGGACCAGTATACCGACAGCCGATTGACAGGGTCACCCAGAGCCTCATTTCTACATGAGCTTTGTCTATGGACACCGTCTTTCTTTCCCAAAGGCACAAATCTCCTTCTTGTATCATGGATGCGTGAGAGGATATCTTCCGTTCATTGACCCTGTCTTTTCCCTCCAAGTCCTCGCCATCGCACATTCAGGAGACAATCGGAAAGGCGGTCGGGCTCGGGAGTTCAGCGGAGAGAGGCACGGACGGAGGCTGATGACTAAAGATGCAATCAACGTCTTTTCAGAGGCTGGCAGACCACGTCGCACAGAGAGCCGACTGCTTTTTGGATGCATGTCATCTCTTTGCAGCGACAAACGACGACAGCCAACATCTCAAAACACTGGAAACATCTTGTCTTGGAGGACAGCAGAAGACCAGAAACATCAAACCGAGAGACACGGCCAAACCCCGGCAGAAGCCAAAAAGACGGGGCTTGGCAGATTGGGCATTTGTGGGAGAGGGTGAGGACATTTGACCTTTTGACCGCCACCACCGCATGTTATCACCATGGCGGCCGCAGGTATGTGTCTACTGTTTTCTTGTGTCTCTTCGCTGCTCTTGTCCCGAGGTCATGACATAGCCAGTGCTGTCGGCGGCGCGGTGGCGGCAGTCGGACTTCAGTCGTGTGCCCAAACCGCAGCCCACAACACCCCGCAGCAGCCAGACTTTCTTATCAGGAAACACAACTGACAGCTCCTTGCGCTTGCAGATTATGTGTGGCCGCGAAGGTCATCACCAACCAGATCGCCCGACACACTATCACCAGTCTACCCGGACCGGCCCATCAGACCGCTCCCCAAGAACCGCCTACGAGAACAGCTGTCGCCTGAACAGCAGAGCCAGATCATCTACCCACCCGAACCTCCGTCAACATCACCCCTCTTCAGCTTCCCCTACGGAGTGGTCGAAAAGATGGACCCCCGCGCTCTCGACCACCACGACTCGCACAGTCACTGCACCTGCAACGGCGACCACCATGTCGACGAGAGCGACGAGGATGAAGAGCTGATTGCATACGATCACCCAAGCTACCGCTGGTCTTCGCCCGTCAACGACGGCTCCAGAGTCGACAGCGTGCAGAGAAAGCTCATGGCAGCAAAGGCCCCTCCCGCCCCCGCATCGACCGCCTCTTCAGCTGACGGATACGAATCGTTCGAGAATACGAGCAACAAGAAGAAGCGCAAGATTCCTCTTTCTGGCGGTGGCGGTGTCCACCAGTCCAGTCTGTCGCAAGAGTTGGCAAACATGGGCATCGCAGCGAGGGAAGAGCACCAGCAAGATTCGAGGCAGTTGTCGGGCAGCGGACGTGGCAGGTTTGGCAGGCAGCACAACGCCTACGCTTCGAGTCTCTCGGCAAAGTCGCGCGGAGGCAACTGGAAGGGCGACGGCACGCGCACCAGTAAGAGACGCTGCAGTGACTGTGACGGCGAGCCCGAGACTTACATGAGCTGCACAGAACAAGCCGACGGCATCATCTCGCAAGCCATCGCCAGCGCCCACCAGGACCAAGACCACGAAGCGCCCATCACGCCGACCAAGCAGAACAGCGAGAGTCTCCTTGCCCGCTCGCCCTCGCAGACGACAACGCCGCAGACGCAGTTCACCTTCACCTGCGAGTCCGACTCGTCCAACAAGATGCTCTGGCCGCAACAGCCCACGCCCACCCTGCCGCGCTCGCCCCTGGCTAGCCACTCGGCCTCGCGCTCCCAGCAAACACACGCTCTTGCCAACCCTCCCGCGCCAGCTGTCCAGCCTCCGCAACAACAGCAACAGCCACGCAAACCCCGTCCTCGTCGCCCCGGCAAGGAGTTTGCGCTTCAAGAACGCCAACGTCGTCTCCAGCAAGAATACACAAACTACCACACTCGCCCGACACCCGCCTCGATGTGGATCTGCGAATTCTGCGAGTACGAAGACATCTGGGGTTCGCGTCCTGAGGCTCTCATTCGCCAATACGAGATCAAGGATCGCAAGGAACGTCAAAAGGCCGAGGAAAGGAGGCGTCTGTTGGAAAAGGCAAAGCAGAAGAACAGAAAGGGAAAGAAGAACAATGCAAAGGGAAAGCCCGCACCGACTCAGAACTACCCCGACGAGAATATTGGTCCCGATGACAGACAGGACGACGAAGATGCAGAGTTTGACGATGGCTACGATGCTGTGACCCACACGGCTGAGCCGAGAGACCATGGCTACGCTGCTGATTACGCCTACGATCGGCCACCGAAAGCTCCAGACAAAAACGATCTCCGGCACGACCAACAGCATCCGCAGCCCTTGCAGCAGCGGAGGCAGTAGTCGCCAACACGATGTGATGGGGTGCAGTCATCACTGATCTCCTTTGTTGAGAAGCGTCTTGCCCTTTTGGATCTCTGCTTTTTCTTGCCTTTGGTTATTCGCATTGTTTTCATCTATCGTTTTTTTGTACGGCCGAATCAGTCATGTTCATCTTATGCCCAACATTGCATTCTGCTTTTTGCCCTCTAGTGCTTGAGATACCTCTTCGCTTTGGTTTTAGACGGTGGCTCGTCTTTGATATCCACTCCCCTCTTGACGGAAAATTATACACTTTTATCCCATCCTTGCGTCTTGATTTTGTATTCTCCAATTGCTTGTACTTGCTCTTGCCCTTCGTATGAGATCATGAAGAAAGCTTCATCTCATCGACCGTGCCAGAGTCACAATCTCGCTCCATACACGATTGCATGCAGTCCTGCCCGCGAAGCTGTAGTGCCTTGCCTTGCCTTTGCCAAAGAAACCAATCATCGTGCGAACATCATCCACATCTCAATATGAAGACAGCCAAACCCCCATCGTATAAGCGTGCTGTGGCTTTGAGTCTTGTAACAAACCAAGTTCACACCATCATCAATTCCAGAAAGAAAAAAGACAAAGTGGACCAAGTCAAAAGGAAAGAAGTGAAGAAGAATAAAAAGAAAGATTTCTATTCTTTTGGTGTTGGGGAGCAAGCACCCTGTTCTGTGTATTTAACAAGCAGCTGTTTTGTTTTTCGTATCAGGGTTCTGCGGATATTGTGCTTAGTGTAGTGTAGTGTGGTGTAGTGTAGTGTAGAGGTATATAAATCTGCCATAGTTACACACAAAACTCCCCAGTCTCTAGGATCAAAAGGACTAGCTAAGATATTCTATTGTTTTCTTGCCTTGGAAACTTTGATTCTCTTGCCCCTTCTTCACAATAGCCACATTCGTCTTCTTCATTGTTGTTTCTCATTGATTTCTATGACTTTGGGTGATACTACTTGATAAGAATCCAATCGAAAAGAATCGAGTCTTCAAAACCTTCGAGTATACACCTTTCTCTCAATTTTCCAAGGATATCTAGAAAATCCATCTCGAACAGAAAGTTTTGGCATCGAATCAGGATAAAAGTAGGAAAGATCTCAAACAGTGGTGACCACACAAGTCTAAGGCCAAAAGTAAAGAAAAAGAGTAAAAGTAAAGGAAGAGCCAAAGCAAAGCAAAGCACAAAAAACATGGATATCCAGTACCAATTTCATACAGCAGTGATATACATACAAACACAATAACATAGAGTAAAGGTGGTTGCGAGGAAAGACGGAGCAGCCAGGCATCTAGACACATAAACACTTGTGCCGGTCCTGTCGACTATTGTTTGTCTTCTGGGTCAAAAAAGTGGGATATTGTATAGATACTCTTTCTCAAGACATAGTTGATACACTAGAAACTATAGACATTTGTTTGTTTGGGGCATGGATGGCGGGATATATGATATTTGGTAGAGACGTTGAGGAGTATAGTAATAACAAAATGGAAAATAAGAGACGAGACAAAGGTGCTCTGAGCGTGAGTAAAGACAGAGGACGCATGATGAGGACAGTGGAAGGAAAGTGATGGGGGATCGTGCAATGGGAAAAGAAGATTGAGATAAAGAAAAGGCGAGCGAAAGCACAAGAGAAGCAAAATAAGAGACACTGCTACCACAGAACCCCTCACAGAACACCACTAATCGGGAAAGCACACTTGCAGCCCTCTGCAGCTTGCAGACCACTCGACATATCCTGGCAAGTACACCCATTGTTGCCAATACTAAACATACCATTCCCATACGAAAACTTAAAGTACCCTCCCCCAATCATCATGTCCTCGCTTTCAATGGTCAAAACTTGGTGCAAAAGTTTTCTTCAATCACGAAAGGGATAGCGCAGTCGGTGGCTTGAGTGTCGTATGATGCTCTCAGGCGGCAGGTGTTGTCATAAATGTGGTACTGTTAAGAGCCCGAGAAGCCGGCATTTTGTCCTTCGGCCAGGGCGGGTACGTACCTCGATGGCGGAAATGTAGAGAGCAAATGTCCAGTAGCCTTCGCCCTGAGGTAGGCACAGTTTGTCGGACGTGGCAAAGGTGTCGGGGCCAGCGGGACCGCCAGGGGGTCGGCAGATGGCGGTGGCCAGGCTGAGCAATCCCATGATTGCTGAACAGTGCTGCAGACAATGCATCTTGGGAGATGGTGGTTGTCGAAGAAAGATTGTAGATGTCGAAAGCGATGAGCGATCAAAGAGATAGGCGTATAGCAAAGATAGATATGCGTACGGTCGTCTCGTTTGTTACAAGGTGAGTGATGAGTAGAACTGATGTTCAGGGGTGAGGCAAGTCGAAGCTTTACATGTCGGCCATGGATATCATTGCTGTCGTTACCAGCAATAGACCCCCAACCATGGTGGCGAAAGTACGCCTCAGATACCACCAACATGATCTCACAGCACCGCCCATATCGCTGTGCCATGCATTGAATTTTCTGGCTCGAGACAATCCCTAGACCTATGTTGGAGCGTTCTCGTGGAGACCTCGAAGAATGACGCATACACACTCCACAGCAGGTTGCTGAGCCCCTATGTTGAGCCTGATATGCACCTCAAATGGACTAAAGCTATTTCTGTACAGCAAGGACATGAACGCCTGTCTTCACAAAGAAGAAGTTGGTTCATGAGAAAAATGTGGCTTGACTCCGCCTCATGAGGCTGAGTTTCAAGTGTACGCGATTCCTTCGAGGTCTAGGACTTTGTTGGAGCTCTCTCAGACATGTGTCTGTCAATATTGCTTCAAACAGAGAAATTGGGCTCGTCATCCTTTCCCTAGCCTTTGTCGGTCACCTGTGTTGTTATGCTCGCCCACGAATACTTCTACCGCCGCAGCCTTCCCATCAATTGAACTGCTCACAGAGATTTCTGCGATAACAAGTCGTGAGGATAAGACTAGCAGAGCTGACTGCCAAAGATACGAAACTCGAGATGGCTCTGGACCAGCTGCTCGTATCGGAAGAGTTGGGCGTTTTTCATGGAGTCCACTGGCAGTACGACCGGGTAATAATCCTAGCATACATAGTGACATGAAGAGTTTGAGAGGATCAGCGGGTGGTGGGTTCATATCAGGAAGCAGAGTGCCTAATAGTGAATTATGTTCAGCTGATGTGGGTATTGAGTTGGGATAGACGGCGATACGTGTTCTCGAGATCTCTGGCAGCTACAAGCATCGGTAAAATACGTCTGCAACCAGGAGTCGAATTGGAGTCAGGGTGAACTGATACTCGACAGGAGAATTGCGCATACGATCAACGCTCAACGTGAAAGGAGATGTGCGTCATTCGATGGGCCTGATCGGGAACGAGAAGCAGGCACGGCGTTGTCGAAAGCATCTCCGCTATGTTGTGCAGTAGACTGAGGTTGGTAACAGTTCTGGACGCGGCTCATCTCAGGGAAACAGTCTGGTCCAATGGGTGGTAGTGTCAATCAAACCCCCAACGGATCGAAGGAGAATCAGGAGAACTTGAGTGTGCCTGACCCAAAGATGTATTGAGCGTTTGATTCGCAAGCATCTAACCAAGCCGCGACTCCGGCAGCGTTGGGTCTAGGTCATGACGACGATGGTGCCGGACTCGTGCGAGGAGGCGCATGCCATCCATGAAAACAGGTGTAAGCGAGATATATTGCATCTAATTGCGATATGCGTAATGCGGCCAACCCTACAGAAGTTCGTGCCATTCCCTCGGGGAAGCGAAGAGAACATATGCCGGGAACGCCACAGCGAGAAAGCGACATGTATTCGTATACATGTTGACGTCCCGTACATGCAAGATTGACGGACGGCAACCTCATCCGGCGATCGATATTGTTTGATCGGGTTCCAGCTTGGCAGTAGATTGCATGCTCAGGGCTGGCATGACAATGTCTCCAGACCAAGCTACGAGCCTTGGTATTTCCGGCAAAGACGATAAAGCTTGTCCCTAGTCATGGCACCGATGCTATAGGCTTGGGACTGGATGATCCTCAAAACTCTGGGACGCGAAAAGCTGAGAGGAGTGAAGTTCTTGTTGCTCAGTGGATAACGTAGAGACAGATCGCGCGAAAAGCGGAGAAATTCTAGTGAGCTGAATCGAGCGCAAAAACGTTTGGGTACTTCCTTCTTCGGGCGCAGAATCTTGCAAAACAAAGCTGATCCTGGCCAACCTTCTGCTGAGTGTCAGATCGGATCCGGAGATGAGACATATCTCAAGACACGCGTTGGACCGAAGGACCGTGGCCTGACAGGGCTGCACACATTGACTAGGAAAGACCTGCCGAGGCCCAAGTCTCGCGACTTGAATCTTGTTCTGGCGTAGCCCTCATGAATATCGGACAACACCTGCTTCATCAATTGGGCAACTGTCGCGTGTATACTACCCGAGAGCGACAGTTCCGACCCACTGGCACTAGAGTGTAGTTCATCATAGAACCTTGTCAGATGTTGACGGAGCTGGCAGCGGGTTGTCCATCAGTCGGGAAGGTGGTCCGAAGTGTCCAGTCCTATCAGGCAACCTCCCTTTGGGTACGGGTCCCAATCTCTGGTTATCGAGACTCCTCAAGGGGCAATATGTCAGTTGGGACACGATCAATCTGGTCATCACTCGAGAGAAAATCCAGCGCCCTCGAGCCGTCACGTTTGGCGGAGCGGGGCGATCCGTTTCTCGCGGGCCGTCGGAACCACACACCACCAAAACCTTCTCTTCCAGGAAACTCGACGTCGACTTGTCCATTCCACCATGATCCGCATGTCGAACACGTCGTTGATCAATGTCTTGACAAGCGGGGATGCACTGTTGCGAAAGTGATATGCGCGTGCGTAGATGCCGAGGTCGGGTCGAGCGTCCATGACAGGACGGACAGCATTACACAAAGCCTCGGGCACACGTCCGTCCTCAGGTAAGTGAAAAGTGCCGTCGCTAATGCAGCCCAGTTCCCAAGAGTTCTTTGCACATGATGGCATCTAATCTGTGCTTCTACTTGTCGAACGCTTGCGCGTGTGCTCATGTCCGAGTGTCTCCTGACCTGCGAATAGCAACAGACATGCTGCATCTACGCCGTCGACGACATCTCATGCTGCCTCGTCGAATCATGTCGCGTCCCAAGCATCTTACATCTTCTGCCGGCATCGCGTCTGGATTAGCTTCCAAATTCTTCGCATTAGCTCAATGTCGCTGTGCGAAGCAGGAAGATGACACATCGAGCCCGAGTCGTCTGTCGCTAATAAGCTAGCCCTAGGAGACCGCCCGCCAGATTGGGTGCTGGATAAATTGACAGCGCCTCGATCTTCACACCACCACTGCAACAACACGAATTTGGGACTCTGGGACAAACTTACTTATATTGCATGCTAAAGTAGAATGAATTTCGCGGACACCGAAGGATCTGTGGATGCACGTTGACCGTTTCCACTCAGGCACCGGTACCAATGCAGACGGTAAGCTGCCCTCGTGAATTTCTTCTGCGTTCTTCATGTCGGCAATGCAGACTCTCGGACTTTGGAAGTAAAGGAGAGCTATACGGGAAACGGACTACAGACGAGATGAATTCGCACATAAAGTGGGACCATTTTACTAACGGTTCGCCCTACACGTCCGGACTGGGTATAAACATGCACATCACCGTTGCGACGTCTGTCTACATCGAGGCATGACCCAACAACCTGGTTTTGATGGACCCGAGACGAAGGATTGGGAGATCACCATGACGCCTCATCAGATTTAATATGGGATTAATCTATCCTGCGCTCCCGATCGAGGTTTTGGGTAGCAAGGTCGTAGCTCGCTGCCATAGTTGGCAAGTGCTCCTTGAGATTTGTCAAACGGCATGTATCCTTATCCACAGGTGTGGCCCGTCTGTCATTGTTCGTTCTCTACCTGGAAACGACCTCATGGCTCCCCGTTACGCCACCATCGCTGTAGGGGCGTCAGACGGGCGGAACAAAGGAAGCTTATCTTAAGTCTTCTCGAGAAACATTCCACTTACCGTATTTTTGATGTATATGTAGCGGCTTGACGCCTCCCATGCTTGTCTGCATACTCAGCTCTTCCTCACCACACTCTTTTAACTACGGTCAGGCTCCCGCCGAGGTCAGGGCTAGTGCGACTTACTTTGGACACCCTATCGACGTCCAGTATCCCTACAAGTCATCTTGTACTCTTTTGGATCTGCGCTCCCGCCGGTCAAAAGTTACCCTATTGCATTCTTACCCAGCCTTTCAAGATGGCTACTGTCAGCTCGATGGACAAGGACCTGGAGAGGGGAAGCGACAAGCAAGTCGTTGTGATTACAGAGAAAAACTCAGTCTCTTCTCTCTCAAGCATTTCATCATCATCAACACTTAGCAGCCTGACAAAACCTGGATCGACACATATCGAGGAGCCTGTCCCACCAAAGCGACAAGCAAGAGTCATCCGATACTTACGACACACTGGTCTCAATGTGTATCGGAGGATCTTCTCCATCGTCTTCCTCGCTAATCTTGCTGGTTTGATCGGCCTGTTGGCGTCCGGCCATTCTTCCATTCTGACCCACATGCCGTATGCGGCCAATGCTGCAGCAGCCAACTTCCTAGTCGCAATTCTGATTCGCCAAGATTATATCTTCAACATGATCTTTCGCGTTTGCCAACTGGTACCACTGTCAGCACCATTACGAGTGCGCAGAATCCTTGCCAAAGTCTACGAACATGGTGGCATGCATTCTGGATGTGCGATCGCTGGAACTATGTGGTTCATCCTTCTGACCGTCCTCATCGTCGTCAATTTCGAGACTGGCCGGATCATCCACACGCCTCTTGTACCGATCTTTACCGTCTTGTTACTCATTATTTTCCTTGTCATGTGTGTCTTTGCGCATCCGGCTATCCGTCACAAGTTCCACAATTCTTTCGAGTTTACCCACAGATTTGCTGGCTGGTGTTCGATTGTTGTCTTCTGGGTCGACCTTGTTCTCATCGCCGACACCGGTCGTGTCCAGAACACCACCAGTCCCGAGCCGCTTGGCGTTGCTCTGGTCAAGCTTCCTGCTTTCTGGTTCCTCATCGTTATGAGTGTGCATATCGTCTTACCTTGGCTTCGCCTTCGCAAGGTCGCTTTCACTGCCGAGCGTCTATCAGAGCATGCTATCCGCCTCCATCACAAAGAGCACATGGGTCCTTATCGTGGTATCGCCATTGCTGAGTCACCTCTTGGCGAATGGCATCCCTTTGCCTGCTTTCCCGACGGTGATGGTGTGAACAACAGCATCATGATCAGTCATGCCGGCGACTGGACACGCAGAACCATCGACAGCCCCAAGTCTCACTACTACGTCAAGNGCGTCCTCAAAACCAATGTTTTGAGTATGGCGTCCATCTTCAACCGCGTCTTGCTAGTCACGACTGGCACAGGTATCGGTCCCGCTCTTTCTTTCGTCGCCGAGCCCAGCCGCAAAGGCCAATGTCAGGTCTTGTGGGTGTCATCATCGCCCGAAAAGACTTTTGGCCAGCCTTTGATTGACTGGGTTTTCACTCTCAATGGTAATGCGATCGTTTGGGACTCCGNNAAGAAAGACGGTCGTCCTGATATGGTCGCTCTGACTTTGAGGCTGTACAAGGAGATGAACGCTGAGGCTGTCTTTGTTGTGAGTAATCCCAAGTTGACCAAGCAATTGGTGTATGGGTGTGAAAGTCGTGGTATTCCAGCATATGGACCCATCTTCGATTCATAGATATTGATGATGTCCGTGTTTCTTGTGATTATAATCCTTCCTTTCTTCTTTTTACACATTCGCTACATACCTTTCCTGTTTCTTTTTCTTCTCTGTTCTTCTCTTTTTCTTCTTCTCTTCTCTGTTGCCCATAAACTTTTCGACGCGAGTCGCTTACATACCTCTTATACTTTTCCTACTGTTCGATTAGCGACTTCAAAAGTCAGCGTGGTGTTTGGATTTGGCTATTGATCATAGCAATCTTTGCGCAACCAACCTCATATACTCCACCTATATTCTACAATACACCTGTTCGATTCTTTACTTTCTGAGCGTTCTGTGGTCTTGCATGATTCTGAGGTGAGGCATCGTCGACAACCTGCTTCATGCTGTGTCTTTGTGGTCGTCTTTCTGTTAATACCTCATTGATGTATTCAGTGCTTAAGCGATGGCCAACCTCTTTTTCGGACAAGCTTCCGAAGAATTGCACATGGCTACAATCCCTTTGTTGCGCTCGGCGGCAACATGCTTCCTCACAACTGTCTTTCGTAGGGATGTTGTCGTCGGAGTTGGGATTGTCGAAAAAGCGCCAGTCTTGGCATTCCCGCTTTCTATTCTTCCGGCTTGGATGGCTTGCCGTGTTTTCTCTGGGCAAAGCTGGTGACGACCAATCAATCATACAACATGTGCTTTGCAGAGGTCGATAAAGCCTTCCAAGCATTGTGTTGGCGCCACAAAGCTGTATGACCAGGTTATGGTGCTTGGAGGTGGAAGATGACACCCCAGTCATCGAAGAGCAGGGTCTCGGGCTCGTCTCGTGGACGGGCGCGATGTTCGACTGCATATCCGAGAAGGCGGTTGTCGAACACATCTTGAGTTCTTGAGGCGAGGACCGACATATAAGAGAGTCTGTGAAGATATCCTTCTCGGAGCTATCTTTACCGACCCCACTGTTCCCAAAGATGTCATGACGACCTTCCTGATTTGCGTTCGTCGATCGCGGTCGCGGCCGACAAGATTTCTGGCGGTGGAGAGGCTTTGAACCAATCATTTGCTGCACGCACCCATATCGGAAGACCATCTCGTCTGCAGCATGGCTTCATCGACGGCGCGAAAAAAGCATGACGATCAAGCTATATAAGAGCGGCAGCATGGCAGCAAATGGTTGTGTTCAACACATAGCTTGCGCTGCTCGTCCATCCTCGTCAAGATGCGTTACTCCATTGCTGCAGCTTCGCTGTTCTCGACTTCGGCATTCGCTGCTCTGTACCCTGGCCAGAGTAATGTCAACCACACCTGTCAACTGAGTGAGTGCCTTGCGCCAATGCGATAACAGCTGCATTTCGCTGACACCGCCCCACAGCCANACTCCGACGCCGTCCTGTCGTGCTCCAGTGCCGCCAACCCCAATACCGTCGACTCGTGCTGCGCAGAAACATATGGAGGACTCTTCCTGTCCACTCAGTTCTGGTCTACATACACTGGCCTTGAGGCTGAAGGTCAATTGCTGCCTGCGGATGACTGGACGCTGCATGGCTTGTGGCCTGACTTTTGCAATGGCTCGTACACCCAGTACTGCGATTTGAACAGGCAGTATGATCCTACGCCGTCGCCCAACACGACCAATGCTTTGCCCAATGGTACTGTTGTTCCTCCGTACAAAGGTCCTAACATTGGCACCTTCCTTGAGCCTTTTGGCAAGTACGATCTTCTTTCCTGGATGTCGAAATACTGGATTAATAGCGGCGCTCCCAACTCGGACTTCTGGGGACACGAGTTCAGCAAACATGGAACTTGTTTCTCGACCTTCGACGTGCCTTGCTATGGTCCCGAGTATGTTCAGCACCAGGAAGTCGTTCAGTTCTTCGAGACTGCCATTCTCTACTACCGTCGTCTCCNNCCTACTTGGGGTTGGTTGAACCAGGCCGGTATCAAGCCCAGCAACACCACCACCTACTCGATCGGTCAGTTCCAGGATACTCTTGCCAGAGGATACGGCGCTCTTCCCTACATTGGTTGCAGCGGCCCCAGATACAACGAGACTGCTGCCGGTGCTGGCTCGACCGACAATGGCAGAACCCAGATTTCCGAGGTCTGGTACTACTTCCATGTAAGTGTCATAGGTCTGAGACATGAAGCGGCGGTCAACTGATACACTCTAGNNGCTCTCGGTCAACCTCAGAGAGGCGCATGGCTTCCTACCAACGCCACTGGCTCTGTCACCAGCTGTGCAAAGGCTGCCAACGCCCTTCGCTACCCTCTCCGTGCCAATGGCTCCACCTGGCACCTTTGAAGGATCAAGGGGTGAGTGCAGAAGAGGGCGGACACAATGTGTAATGTATAACAGGCGATCGGAAGAAATTATTACAGATGGCAAAAGTCTCGAACTCTGCTTTCAGAAATTTGTACCAGCCTCTTTGCTCGTGCGTGTTTCTTCCTCTTCCACGTGCGCCTTCTTCCACGCCTTGCGCCTTGTATCACGCCCTTGTACCACGCCCTGTCAACATTCTTGCCCCGATTCTGCCTATCAACCCCGCGAACCCTATTTTCCTTTCGCGAACCTCTTTCCCTTTATCTTCTACGTATGTTGCATAACTGAATCGATATCGCATCCTTCGAGGGTTTCGAGTCATTGAAAAATCCTCAACACCGCAGCAAGCCGAAGCTGCTTCGGCTGACAATATACAAAGTACCACGAACCACTCGGCTCATTACCCCAGCCGTGCCAAGCGACAATCCCCCATACACATCCCACGAGTCTGGCAACCACTCACCGTGCACCCATTCCAATCTGTTTCTATTACTTGATAGTTTGCTATTGGATGCGGAGGACAAGTATGCGGGGTTATATCTTGATAAGGTGTGGAAGGTGAAGTCCTTTGACAAGTATATGAAGGTGGTCGCTTCTCACTTTCCTTTCCTGTGCTTCTTCTCTCATCCGTGCTTTTTTCTCTTTTGAGGCCCTGATATAAAGGTTTTTTCTCCTTCTGCTTTCTTTTTTCGCTCACTATGGAGAAGAACGAAGATATGAAGGAATTTCCTGAGGTTACTGCTGCTGTCACCAAGGATGTTGGCGATGTCGAGAATGCGGGTGCGCGCAACCACACCAAGAGAGGTCTATCTTCTCGTCAAGTGCAGTTCCTCGCTCTGGGTATGTCCATGTCGATCAACACTTCCATATCTCGACTAACAACCTTCNTAGGCGGTGCCATCGGTACCGGTCTCTTCGTCGGAAGCGGAGCCACCCTCTCGGCTGTCGGTCCTGCTCCTCTATTGATGGGCTATATCGTAATGTCTTTCGTCGTGTATGGAGTCATGAATGTGCTGGCTGAGATGACCACCTACCTCCCTCTTGAGGGGCTCTCGGTGCCTTACTTTGTCAATCGCTTCGTGGACCCTAGTCTTGCTTTTGCCATGGGTGAGCATCTCGACACCTCTTATCGGATCTATGTTGCTAACTCGACAATAGGTTGGAACTACTGGTATACCTTTGCGATGCTTCTCGCCGCTGAAGTCACCGCCGCTGCGATCATCATTCAGTACTGGACCGAGAGTGTGCCTGTCGCTGTGTGGATCGCCATTATCCTGCTTGTTATTCTTGCACTGAACATTATCGCTGTTTCGTTCTTCGGTGAAGCAGAGTAAGTGATGTTATTCTAATAGCTCCTTGGTTCGTGCTAACATGTTCAGGNNTTCTGGTTCGCGTCCATCAAGATTCTGGCAATTCTCGGTCTTATTGTTCTCGGTGTTGTCCTCTTCTTTGGAGGCGGTCCCAAGCATGATCGTCTTGGTTTTCGCTACTGGAACGAACCTGTAAGTAGCTCCTGACATCGCCCACAGCGGAATAGAAATTGACAAAACANNTCGCAGGGAGCTTTCAACCCCTTCATCGCTAAAGGCAACAGTGGCAAGTTCCTCGCCTTCTGGTACGCATTCATCAAATCCGGATTCGCCTTCATCATGTCGCCCGAACTCGTCGTCACCGCCGCCGGAGAAGCCGAAGCCCCTCGCCGCAACATCCCCAAGGCGGCCAACCGCTTCATCTACAGATTGTTCGCCTTTTACGTCTTGGGCACGTTGGTCATTGGTGTTACCGTGGCTTACAACGACAAGGGTCTACTCAATGCCATCAACAGTGGTTCCCATGGCGCAGGAGCCTCTCCTTTCGTCATCGCCATCCAAAATGCAGGTATCGGAGGCTTGAACCACGTCATCAATGCCGCTATCCTTACTTCCGCCTGGTCATCTGGAAATGCTTGGTTGTTCTCTGGATCAAGAATGCTCTACTCGCTTGCCCTCACGGAGCAGGCACCCAAAATCTTCCTCAAGTGTAATAAGAGAGGTGTCCCTTGGGTCGCTGTGCTGTTCACCTTCTGCATCGGTTGTCTCGCTTTCTTGAACGTCAGCAACAGTGGCGCTTCCGTCTTCAACTGGTTCACCAACATCACCACCATCTCCGGCTTTATCGCCTGGATCGTCGTTTTGATAACCTACCTCCGTTTCCGCCGCGCAATGCTGTTCCACAACATGCTTGACTCTCTACCCTTCCGCACACCTCTGCAACCATACTCTTGCTGGTTCTCCCTCATCGTCATGGTTTTGGTCACCCTCACAAACGGCTTTTACGTTTTCGTCCCTAGCCGCTGGAACATTTCCGACTTTTTGGTTTGCTACATCACCATTCCCATCTTTTTGGTCTTATGGTTTGGTCACAAGGTTTGGAGTAAGAATTGGAGGTGGTGCATTCCGATTAAGGAGGTCGATGTGTGGAGTGGCAAGGATATTGCTGATGCTGAGGAGTTGGAGTATGAGACTAGGGAACCTAGGAATTTTGCTGAGAAAGTGTGGTTCTGGGTTGTTTGAGAAATGTATAGCGAAGAGGTGTTTGTTGAGGAAGATTAGATGAGATTTTATGCATATATGATATCTTGATGTAATGAGTACTGTTATGGCTTTCATGTCTTGTCTCTTACCTCTGCTTTTGGTTCAAAGTCACATTCGCTGATGGATATCGGACATTTCAGAGCAAGAGGTAAGTTCACTTGACGTTTGGGCTGCTCGGTCAGGCCTTGCAACAATTTTGCTGAGTAGAGGAAACGCTCAAGTCATTCGACGCTCTATCAAGATGTTATGCTGAAGAGCTCAAGGCAAGAACTTCCCTTTGGTAATAACATTTCAAGTAACGAAATACGTCCCTGATAACACTTGACGCCAAGACGTCTGCAGTTCCAATGACCGAAGATTATAGATAAAACAGCAGCATCGTAGACCTATGTGACCCTTTGACCTCCAGTCCCCTTGCTTCGCGCCTGGAAGAGAGCAGGTAGTAGAATGGTTTTAGTGGATACAGGGTAAGCAGAAAGTTGACCAAGACGATCTATGCAGCAAATACTGCACTGTGAAGAAATTGAAGATTGGATGGATGGATGTAGTATTTGATAGTGGTATGGCGGATGAACATATGATAGGTTCTATCTATTGAGCACAAGTGATGACTTGTGATACAATGTACTAAGATCAAGATCAGGTCGTTTTCACATCATAATTTGTCTTCGAAACACACATGTCTGTGTATCTTGCTTTTCGTCTGTATATCTTGCATTTCGTTGACGGAGGGTCTGGTAGCCACAAATGCTATACTGGGTATTATTCACGTGCAATAGTCGACAGTTCATGGCCTAAGATTACAATATCAAATCTACAATCATACTATGTTGTGAGTTCCTTACTCTGACTGAGATACTTGAGGAGTTCTTTCGAACGAAGTTGATTTGAACGACTGGGAAGAAGATGGCGAAAAACAAAAGGGTTGTATGTCAGGCCTCTATGATCCTGAGCTGAGCAAGTCTGCATCATACTTCCAACAGTGCATCGGAGTGTCTGACTCTTTCGAATACCAGGGACTCGAACGTATTCAGAGCTCGACCAGAGTCGTCGTCTAGGCAGCGATTGACTCGAGAGACGCATCAATACCAAACTTCGCTCGCTTTCAGCCGCGCACAACCACAACAACTGGGTTCAGTCACACATACACATTACTACCAAAGCATCTTGTATTCAAGATGGATCCCGCCGTCTACGAAAAGGTGCGCACTAAACGATAAAATGCAAGAGGCATCAACTAATTTATCATGTATAGTCCATCTCCAACATCGTTCGTGACCTGCGTAACGATTTTCACCGTAACCCCATCCGCAAGCAAGACCTCATCAACACTGCAATTGCTACCAACAATGCAGTTTTGTGCATCAAGGCCTTCGGAACTCCCGGCCGGATGTCAGTACGAAACAATCCCACACTCACAGACACAACTGACATCGACACAGGGCCACCGAGGTCTCGGTTGGCGTCGTCTACCAGAACGCCCGCTGCGCCGCCAAAATCTCGCCTGACCTCATCTTCAAGTTGTTGGGATACTCTGCTGGCACCATTCTTGCCATGTACGACAACGAAGAACGTGTCAGGGTCATTAGACTCTCCCATGCACAGAGCCTAAACTTCTTTCTCGAGTTTCATGCCGAAAACAAGAAGGAATTCTCCTCGGATGTTATGTTTGAGGCTTTCCTGGAGTTTTCCAGAGCCACCAAGTGAGGAGTGGTAGATAGCATGTACCACTCAAGAAAGTGACGATTCTAATGCAACTCTCTGATAACTTCATCCTTTCACTGTGACAAACCCTTGTTTTGCTCATCAAGATGCGATATGCCATTCTCTCTGGACATGCGTGCTCAACGGAAAGCTACTGTGCATTTGCATGACTATCGAACATGACTGCCCTCGACATCTGAAGCAAAGTACCGGCTGATCGTCGAAAGTCACAACATCACTTTTCCACCTCACTTTCCCATAGAAACCGCAGCTCTTCCCAACCCTCGACGCCAACCCCTTTTCGTTCCAAAACCCCTCCCCAACCTCTCCAACCCACCTCAGACCACTCGAAAACACCATGAATTCAATCAGCATCCTCAACAACACTGTCCACGCCTTCTGGCGCAACTTGAGCGCTCGCATCGACGATCTGCTTACGTGTGTTGCGCGGCTGGACGTCAACCAGGCCACTACCAACGCTGGCTTGATCGACAGTCTTGCTGGCGCTCATCACAAGATTCGCGAGCTTGATGCTCAGCAGACACTTCTGGAACGCCGTCTTGCTGTTCTTGAGATGGGCAGTGCTGTCAAGAAGGAGGGTGTGAAGGAGGGCGAAAACGAGAGCGAGAAGGAGAATGGCGACTAGGCCAAGTGCAAGTCGACCATCTGCGCCGCGTGAGTGTGATACTTTTCAGTATATCCATGATCTGACGTGTGAGCAATAGCTACTAATGCGTCGCCATAGAAGTCTTACTTGGAAAGGCAGAAACGATTTGGGAGACAAATGCTCATCGGAAGCGAACGGGGACGAGTCGTCGATGGTCATGCATCTTGTCGGGTCGCAATCACAGGAGCGAGTCATGCTTGTCATAGACACCTATAGAAATTCAAGATTCCAGTACACGCATCGACCATGACCAGTGAGAGTCCTTCATGTTTCAAGTCTCCGTGGAAACCATCCATCAGCGAAAGGAATATGTGCATTTTGATAGCTATGTTCTAAACCGCTCGACCAAGAGAGATAGGAGATTGGTCAGAAACTTGACACGATGCGAGAGGTATAGGAGAAAGTCATGCAAGTCTACTTTTGTAATTAAATCAACACCAGTCTATATTTAACGCCGCGCTGACATGCAGAAATCAGATGCAGATGTACAGAAGAGGTTTTACTCGGCCTTCTTGGAGGCCTTGGTTCTCAGCTTCATGAGACCAAACACGAGAGCGTAACCAGAAAGAGCAAAGATGACACAAATCGCAGCATCTCTCCAGCCATAGTAGTACTCATTGAGGTTCAGGGTAGCGAGGTAGTCGCTGCCACGAGTGTATTGGCAAACGTGGCAGTCAGAGGTGGCCTCAGGGTTGATGAGGTTGGAAGCGTGACCCATGCCTTGCAGGTAGTTGGCGAGGTAGGATGCACAAGTTTGACCTGAAGGAGGGTTGAAGATGGCAAACTCGGATTGCTTGCAGTGGACTTCTTGGTCGAAGGAGGTGAAGACGAGGAGAGAGCCCATGAGGTAGTTGAAGGGGTTGAGGTAGTATAGNCCTGAAATATTGTTAGTATCGATAATGATATAATGATGATGATGAACATAGCTCAGGGGAACTTACCAGTAGCGCCAGAAAGGCTGGATCTGGGCGTATGGAACCAAAACACCACAGAAAGAGACAAGGGTACCGATGATGAGAGGGTTGACGAGCGAAGCAAAGACTGCGTTGGGAGCGTAGGCGGCGACGAACTGACCAATACCAGTGTAGATAAATTGGTAGACCAGCATGACAAAGTAGACTGAGCCAGCGGAAGAGGCCTTTGCAGGGAACCCGACAGTGAAGTAGAAGCAGACAAAGTAGAAAGTCGCACAGAGGACAAGGTAAGGGATTTCAGACACGATGAGACCGGTAGTGAAAGCCTTCCAGTCGTACATCTTACTCTTCTTCTCACGAGTTTCGTATACATCGCGGCGCTCGATGAACAGAGGCTGAAGTTGAGCAATGACACCGGGGGCAACGAATATGTAGTTGAACAGAGCGAAGAGGTTGAGCTGAAGATCAGCGACACCATTGCCAATCATCCAGAAAGTAAAGCCCATGAACAAGGCAGTACCGATATGAAGCATGATCTTGTTCATGATGTAATCGGTGTTGCGGTAAATAGAGACATTCATACGGTTGCTGACCAGCTTGGTCTGGGTCCAGAGAGAGGTGGCAAACTCGTAACCATCATCCTTGGTACCGGGAGGCTTGCCGGCAGCATCTTGGATCATAGCATCGAGCTCTTCGTGCATCTTCTTGTTTTCGGGTGAGTCCAGCCATACTTGGTGCCAGTCTTTGCCCTGCGACAGAGAACCGGAGCAAACATCGATCATGTGTTCAGCAGGGTTACTGCTGGGCGGGCAAGCGGCGTCGTAGCGACCGAAGTATTCCTTGATGGTGTTGGCCTCGTCTCCAATGTCACCAAAGTAGACAGTCTTGCCGCCACGGGTGAGAAGAAGTAGAGTATCGAACTCGGCGAAAAGCTGAGCGGAAGGCTGGTGGATGGTGACAAGGACAGCCTGTCCAACATCGGCCAGCTTACGGAGGAAACGAACAGTATTAAAAGCAGCTTGACCATCGAGACCTGATGTGGGCTCGTCCAAAAAGATCTACCGAATGTTAGCAAAGTGTTTGAAGAAGTATGTGGCAGAATACTTACCAAGNATCGAAGGCTTCGATACAAGCTCGACACCAATAGTGACACGCTTTCTTTGTTCGATGGAGAGACCAGCACCAGGCTTGCCAATGAGAGTGTGTTCAATGTCGTGAAGCTCCAAGAGGTCGATGATAGTATCAACATAAGCGAGCTTCTCAGAATCAGGAGTATCACGGCTTTGACGGAGAAGAGCGGAGAACTCAAGTGCTTCTCTGACAGTGGTCAAAGGCTCGTGTACATCAAGTTGCTCACAGTAACCAGCAGAACGTTGGAACGAGACTGAAAGAGGACGACCGTCGACGAGAATCTCACCCTTGATGGTACCGTCAGTTTTACGCTGAGCAAGGACATCGAGAAGAGTGGTCTTTCCGGCACCCGAACTACCCATGAGGGCACCGAGCATACCGGGCTTGACGTATCCGTGAATGTCGTCGAGAAGAACTCTGTCGCCTGAGGGTGTCTTGACAGTGTAGGTGAGGTTTCTCCAAGTGAAGATACTGGTGTTGCGAACGAGTTGGTCGTTGTTCTCGGACTCAGACTTGGACTTTTCGTTGTCGCCATTGGGAACTTGGGTGTCGGCGCTTGAGATGGAAGTTTGGGACTTCTCGGCAGGGTTCTCCTCATCACTGTTGGCCTTGGCCATAAGACCCTTAGCCAGGTGAGCTTTCTCGCGAGGGACCAAGAGGTAGCCACTAGAGTTTCCGTTCTCGTCCCAGCGAAGAGTGAAGAAAATGGTCATGCCGACATAGAGGAACCACCAGGCGAACAGAATACCGACGTTGCGCCAGATATGAGACGAGCTGTAAGATAGACTGTCAAGGTATTGCTCACCAGTAACCTCGGTGGCACTAGGAAGAGCACCACGAACACCAGCACAGGCTTGGAACGCAGCATCAGCGTAACCAGGACCGTTAGGAACAAGGTTGTTGTTGACGCAAGGAATGACACGACCCTTAAACTCGTTACCCAAAAGTGCCTCGAAGCCATACGACATTGGGTTGATCCAGTAAATCCACACGAACCAGGGGTGCATCTCAGGCTTGGGAATCTGGTAACCGATATACGTGATGAGAGCACTGATCATGAAACCAGAAACCTTGGAGGCAGCATCGAAAGTCGGGAAGGCAGCACCAATAGCTCTGAAGAGTGCGGTCATGACCAGAGTCGAGAGATAGATGACGAACCAATAAGTAAAGAAGGCAGCAGCAGTCACCTTTAAGCCGACCATGAAGTACAAGACGACAGAGAACACACTGATCTGAAAGACGAGTACTGGCAGATCGCAAGCGATTTGGGCAATGCAGAAGGCTGCGGGGTTGTAGAAGGCGAAGGACTTGTGCTTAGCCAAGATAGGACGACCCGAGAAGGAATCAGTAACCTCAGACATGGCCAGAAGAGCGTTGAATAGAAGGGACAAGAAGAGAGCACCGCCCTTGATGAAGAGACCAGAAGAATTGTTAGGAGCGTTGTAGAAGAGAGAACCAGAAATAAGAGCCTGAACCAGAGTAGAACCCTGCTTGATAAGGAAGGTCGCCTTGTCGCCCCAGAGGATCTCGTACTGTCTAATGATACAGGCCTTGACTTGCGATTGAAAGCCGACCGTGTTGGGACTGTGGCTGGGGATACCCTTAGCCTTGTCCTCGTGGGTAGCCTTTTGGAAGTCGGCAGTCCACTCCTTTGCGCGCGAGCTCTCAGGGAAGTCAAGCTCCTTGTCCATCTTAGCCTTGATTGATGACTTCTCGTAGCGTTCGCGGATAGAAACTGCATTTCTGGGGAATTGGGCTTCGAAGCCATTTTTGATCTTGCGCTCTGTAGGCACAGTGACACCAGTCAAAAAATCAGCAACGTTGGCAGCATCGTCACAAATGAAGCCAAGTCTTTCCATGAAAGGGCGGGCTTGGGCGCGAGGACCGTAGTAGATCTGTTTGCCCTCGTCGAGAACCAGGACTTTGTCGAAGAGGTCGTAGATACCATTTCCAGCCTGGTAAAGGGTCACAATAGTGGCCAAGCCGTTCTTATCTGTCAACGCGCGCAAAGCGCGAGTGTATTCGAGGGCGGTCGAGGCATCCAGACCACGGGTCGAGTTGTCCCAGCAGTAAACACTGGCCATTGTCGCGAGAGTCTCGATGATGGACACTCTCTTGCGCTCACCACCACTGACACCACGCACGTATTCATTGCCGACCTTCGTATCAGAAGTGTGACCGATACCCATCGACCGGAGGAGAAAATCCTTGTACTGGGTGCGGAATTGCTCCCGCGTCTCGGTACCTTCAGGCAAGTTATTGGGTACCTTTAGGCGCGTGGCGAAGTCCATAGTGCGACCGACGGTCAGAGTGGGAAAGAACAGTTCGTCTTCGGTGTTCATGGCGATTTGACCTCTGTATTGTTGAGCCTCCTTGGGGTCCATGGTACCAAACTTGATGTCACCGTCGATTTCTGCGTAACCTGCTCTCCTGTTTGAGAGCATCTTCAGAAGTGATGTGCAACCTGCTCCTGGACGACCAAGCACAAGAAGCATCTCTCCAGGCTTTACACATCCAGAGCTGTTATCGATGATTGTCTTGAGAGGTGCAGGATGGCGTCCCTCCTTGATGTGTTGGGGTAAGTTGAATTGACTGAGGAAGTTCTCGTTGTAAGCTGCGTCAGCACCAACGCCCTTGACTGTAAGGTTGTTCCAGGTGACTCCGAGTTTGCGTCCAGTGGCAGGGTCGTTGTCAGCATATCTCTTGACTTCGGGCATCAATGACCAATCCTCGGCTTTGCTGATGTGTTCGTCGTCCTTGGGCTCCTCGTAGTCTGAGAATCCAGAGCGACCAGAAACTGTGCGGGAGATGCGACGCATGAGGTCGTCGCCATAGCCGTGATTGAGCGAAGGAGCCCAGGCTATCTGGCTGTTGGTAGCCATTATGAAGAGAGTGGAAGCGCACGCAGTATGGACAAGTTGTTGGCTTCTATGTACACAAGAGCCGTGATTGAAAGTGGCCTCGAAGGGTTGTGTCCCGAGGTAGATGAGTCGAAGCTCGAGATAGATGGGTTGAGAGACGAAGAAAACAAGACGTTTCTGACAATGAGCGGAAGATTGCAAGGCGCGATGCCCAGGTCATATACAAACGCCTCATCCAGATAGATCCAACAGCAATCGGGAACGGTGTTTTTTCGTCTAGGGTTGCGCCGTCTTTAGAACACTAATCTTCGGAGAGCGGACGAGTTTTACTTCCAGACCAATCAGATATGAGCATTCTTGCCAAGAAGTCAAGGAAAATGTCATAGCATCGCCTAGAACTTCTTCCACGAGATGACGTGTGGGGCGGATTCGGGGGCTTTTGGCTCCTTGTCTGCCGGAACTCTCAATAGTAAAACGACAACACCTCCTTGTCGAGCTCGGATTTTGATAAAGGCTGTTCTGATGCCGACTGACTCATCATACACCTATGGATCGTGGGACTTGTCAACATCCGGGGGAGCATCTTGTTCCTAGATTTCAAAGCACTCTTGAACGATGATTCGGCCACCCGGAGCAACACGACCGACAGACCTGCGCTGTCTTGCCGTTGCTTTTACAGGTCATCCTTCGTGTCAAGATTGGCAGTTTTCTATCACGACTCAGCCTCAAATTCTGTTTACGAATGCTATATTGCGCATCTCGAAGCTCAATCATTTTGGGCGACTACGTGTACTCGCTGTGAGTTGCTTCCAGCCACTGTTGAGGGACAGTGCGGGTAAGAAGAACTTTGAACTTCTAGTCTGCCTTATGGCCTGACTGCCTTCGGCATGCGCTCCATCACAAGACAAGACTACAGGGCCATCGCATCGCATCGATCTACAGCATGAGCGACCCAATGGGGTTGTTTTCCAGAAACAAACCCCGGAATGTGTCAAAAGTGCTGCCTAAGCAACCCTGCAGGAACGGAAGACGGACGAACCGCGTCTCCGAATCCGAGACGGATCGATACATCGTTCCACCCAGGAAAAATTGAATACATGTCAGCATCAGTGAGTATTAGAAACAATAAGACTGGTCACAAGGCCGACATCTGGAGCCTCTATTCAATTGATTCATATGACTCTGCGTTCTACTGATCTCAACTTCTTCCTTTACTCACATCAACAACAATGCCTTCTTACCATTTCAGCACGCTAAAGGACATACCGGATCTGTCCGGAAAGGTCATTCTCATCACTGGAGGCATGTCTCCACACCTATGCTGAGATTGAGAAAGTCGATTAACANATACATCAGGCACCTCGGGAGTGGGAGCAGAAACAATAAAGCAACTCGCAGTCCACAGTCCAAGCAAGATTTTCTTCACCGGACGCAATGCGAAGGCTGCCAACAGCCTCATCGAGTCAATGAAACTCCTGAGTCCACAGGTGCAAGTTCGCTTCATTCCTTGTGACCTTGCAGATCTGAGTTCTGTTCGTCAAGCAAGCAACAGAATTGCTGCCAAAGCATCACGAATTGACTTGTTCTTCTGCAATGCGGGTGTTATGGCATCACCAGCTGGATTGAGCAAGGACGGCTACGAGCAGCAGTTTGCGACCAACCATCTCGGTCATGCTCTGTTGATCGACCTCTTGATGCCAATCCTGGAAGACACGGCATCGTTGCCTGGATCTGACGTCCGGATCATCATAACAACTTCACAAGCCGCTGCAACGTCGTTAGTACCGAAGCGCGGTATCGACTTTAGCGCTCTCAAGACAGAACAGAGGATGTTTGCAGGACGATGGCGCCGCTATGCGCAATCGAAGTTAGCGAACATGTTGTATGCCAGAGCCTTGAATCGACAGTACCCTTGTGTTACGACTATCTCCGTGCACCCGGGCATTGGCTACACAGGATTGCAGGACAACTTTTCTGTTCTCGACCGGTTCGTCATGTGGGCTACCACAATAGGTAAGCGAAGTCCAGTGGACCAGCTTGCCTGGAATGGTCTTTGGGCTGCTACAACCTCACGAGGGACATCGAAAGGACAAGTACACGGGGGCGAGTATTACGAGCCTATCGGCGTCAGACCAAAACTCACCAGTCACCAAACGAATGCAAGTTTGGAGGACGAGCTTTGGGACTGGACACAAGAACAATTGGAAGCTTGGGAGATGAAAGCCGGGCTGAAGGTACGAGGCTCGATCTCTTCCTCACAGCACTCATGATTGTGTTTGCGTTATGTACTCACGAAGCAATGTATCATTAGTCAAGTCTGTTATCTTCCTTCTTCGGACCTACCACTACAATCAATCGAGGTCCCACCTTGTTGTCGGGATATTCAGGAGAAGTGGTCTCACGACCCTCAATGAGGCAAAGAAATCATGGTGACTCTCAGCGTCTATTGCATCCTTTTCCACAGGTGCCTGTGAATGTTTATGAGGATATTTACGGCAGGTCTAGATAGATAACATTGTATTTTATAAGTATGCACAGCACTCTCCAAAGATCATCACCATTCTTGAGAGTCGCAATCACGTTTACCTAGTTTGGATATCTTCTTCTGCTCAGAAACGACTAGGCGATTGCTTGGCTACTTTCCCAGTACAACTGACTGTGACAAACGACTGGTAAGACTCGCATTTGCGGACGACGCCGGCCGAGCATTACAGAAAATGCTGAAGCCGCGTAACCATGTAATTTCCCTCTCTGGTGCCTCTCCAGATACCAAATTGTACTACTGTTTCATCACTTGCTTTGAGGATCGACCTTCCGCAGCTCGCCCGCTATGTCGTGGTTTGTGGAAGTCTCAACAACAGCGTCAGGGTCGTTCTACATACAACAGATAAACGGAAGTGGAATTTGCATCCAGCCGACAGGTTGGAGGAGCTCTGCCAAGAACGCACTGACTCCCAGAGTCGGAGGACTTTTGGACGAAGTTTCCGATTGGTTGCTGGTTTTTGTGACGTACAAGACCCTGAGTAGAGGAGAGAACGAAGACGGGGAGCTTGCGAGCTCTCCTTTCTGCAAGCAGTCGAGTCCTGATCCTCGTAGTTGTTGTTGTGGTGTAGATGGTACACAGATAAACCGTTTGAGCGACATGTTGACACCCTCGAGTATTTGAGAGGCACGGCATCAAGCCGAGGCACGACGAGCGGCAGGCTGCTGTGTCAGATGAGGGGATCATAAGCGACCCTGAGCCAACAGCTCAGCAATCAGCACCCTTCTTCTTCACTTGACACGACTACAATATGGACACTAAACTTCCAGTATTCGAGCACACTGCGATCGAGCAGATCAGAGGCATCCACTCGCGCATTCACGACAGCTTCCACTCGCAAAAGACGAAGCCCTTGAGCTGGCGCGTGACGCAGCTCCGTAAGCTATGGTGGGCCATCAAGGATAGGGAGCAGCAGCTCGGTGAAGCTCTACAGCGCGATTTGGGAAGACCTTTCTACGAGGCTTACCTGACGGAGATTGGATGGGTGTTGAATGATATCATCTTCACCATCAACAATATCGAGAAGTGGGGTAAGGAAGAGGCTGCTGGCGATGTGCCTCTTACCTTTATGCCCATGCGACCGCGTGTTCGCAAGGAACCGTTGGGTGTTGTCTTGATTCTTGGGTGAGTGGTGCAGAGACTGATGGACATGCAGAACACTGACAGCCCTCGAACAGTGNCTTTCAACTTCCCTGTACAGCTGTCGCTTGGTCCCTTGATCGGCGCCATCGCTGCTGGATGTACTGCCGTCCTCAAGCCCTCGGAGAGTTCTCCCTATACCGCCGCCCTCCTCCAAGAAGCCATGGAAGCTTCCCTTGACCCCTCGGCCTTTATCTGCGTCCAGGGTGCTGTTCCCGAGAGCAGCGCATTGCTGGAGCTAAAGTGGGACAAGATCTTCTATACCGGTTCTGCTACCGTCGGAACAATAATCGCAAAGAAGGCAGCTGAGACGCTGACCCCTGTCACACTCGAGCTTGGCGGTCGCAACCCTGCCATCATCACAAAGAACGCCGACCCTCGTCTTGCAGCTAGACGCCTCCTCTGGGCCAAGGGTCTGAACGCAGGCCAGGTATGTGTCAGTCAAAACTACATCTTGGTCGACAAGGACATCCTACCCTTTTTGGTCAAGGAGCTCAAGACTGCCATCAACGAATTCTATCCTGAAGGTCCCAAGGCGAGCAAAGACTTTGGACGCATCGTCAACAGCCGTCAGTTTGACCGTCTGAAGAAGATGCTCGACTCTAGCAAGGGTGAACTTCTCTATGGCGGAGAGATGGATGCAGAGACCAACTACATTTCTCCCACTATCGTTCGCGTCACATCAACTTCTGACTCGCTTGTCGTTGATGAGTCGTTCGGACCTTTCATTCCTCTCCTGGCAGTCGACAACCTCGACGAAGCAATTCGCATTGCCAATGAAGTTCACAGCACACCACTGGGCCTCTATGCTTTCGGTAGCAAAGCCGATACTACGCGTATTTTGTCCGAGACTCGTAGTGGTGGCGCCAGCATCAACGACGGATTCACCCACGCCTCGTTGCCAACTGTCGAGTTCGGTGGCGTTGGCGACAGTGGCGCAGGCTGCTACCGTGGCAAAGCTTCCTTCGACTGCTTTACCCATCGTCGTATTGTCACCAACACTCCTGCCTGGATGGAGAGCTTGCTGAGTGTCAGATACCCACCCTACAAGGGCAAGTTGTCGCAACTGAAAATGATGAATGACTTTGCGCCAAACTTTGACCGCGAAGGTGCGGTTGTCACATTTGGTCTGATAGGAAAGCTGCTCGCTTTGGGCGGTGCTAGTCTGGGTCAAGGTATCAAGAGATGGCTCGTTCTGTTTGTATTGGCGCTTGGTGTGAGGTATGGGCAGATGCTTGGTCTACAGGAAAGATTGAGAAGGACTTGAAAGGCGTGGTGATCTGAAAGATTTTGTTTCGCAGGCATGAGACATATCGTAATGATAAGCGCTTCTAATCATCCTCGCACACCGAACTCTGACTACTGAGCATCACCACAAAGAAACGACAAGCTCAAAACTTGCCAGGAGCAACAGGAATTGTGTCAGAAAGTGTCAAGCGCCGAGGAGAGGATTTTATGAAGTCCGTGTATCACAAGCCTCAGTATGGTTCCCAGGATCAGAGAAATCTGCCTTCTTCATATGGATTATCGCTGCATTAGCCCACTCGAACACTGGAGTTTGATATCGTCATCTACATATCCGTGACCCAATGACCTTTCCTAAAGCCCAAACCCAAACCCAGAAAAACCACCCTGCTAGTCTCTAGCTAGTCTGATCAAGCGCCAGCACACAGCACACCTCAAGAGCTGCCTGACTACTGTGCCTTTGATAACAGCGAGCCCAAAAGTCAACTTTCTTCCACGTCGGAGAACGTCACGAGTGTGGCATGAACAAAGAGGAGCAAAGATTCCATATCGTTCAAGTGACACAAGCACTTGTCGCACTGCAATAGCCTCTATCAACTTTAGAGTCGACTTTCACATGCTCAAAGATGGGAAGGACTTTGCAAACACAGATGAAAAAGTCACGACCCAAGCCTCCCATCTAGCCCACCTTTCACATAGCCCGTTCATGGTGATTTACTCTGCTCCCTTTCCATTCTTGCAAGCGTAGCCAACTCGTGTCAGAGCCTTGGAGTTTGTACGGTCTTCCGCCGAAACGTCTCGGTCTCGGCTGTAAAACCAAATCATTGCAGCAGATATATCTTAATCAGGCAAATAAAAAATTATGCATGGATAAAGTATCGTACATGAAACGAGAGGATCCGTGATGCTCTTTCAAATCACCTATATCTCCAGCTATCACGTATACTTTGTGACTTGTACCGTTTGGAGGGGAGTTCATGCAAAAGATTGGTATTGGTTAACCTTGTCTCTTGTCTGACATGCATCTCCCAGAATCTGATAAATTGAAAAATCACATCAGGTCCAAGATCCCTAGGTTCCTGCAACATCTTTCACTTTTGTATCATTCGAATGTTTCGACTTCAAGCTATTGCTCCTCGATAGATATTCTCGCGATGGTGTAAGCTACGCTCGACATCACAGACCTGAGCTTTTCTCCTCTTGCCCTGCCTTTTCTTAAGATGCAGTTCGATCAAGAATCCACTTTCGAGTTTTCAGAACACGGAAAGCATGGCTTGTGAACACTCGATCAATTGGTTGTTGGGTATAGAGCACACGTGTAGGTATCTATCGCAGTGAGCCCTTGCAACCCTTGTAGCGAGAATGTGTTGGCATGTCCTCCAGGTGAGAATTTACGGCTTGGTTGCATTTTGCACTTCACATGACAGAGCTGCAAATCCAGTCGCAAAAGTGATGAGACCTACCACCTCATTCTGCAAGATACGTTGAGGACGAATTGCTAATTACTGTATACTGAAACCACCTATGCTAATGCGAGACCCGTGTGTACTGCCCCAAATACGAAAAGCAAATCCAAAACTAAGAACAACTACCTCTTACGAATCTAGCAAACGGGTATCAAACCAAGCAGTCTTGACGAGCAACTAGCAGTCGAGGTCCTAGTGCTGCTAGAGCCACTGCTGGGTCTGGCAGTCGTTGCTGGAGCGATCTTTGTGAGACCTCCACTCGCAGTAGGAACTGACGCAACAGGATTCGAGCTCGGAGTTGCCGTTGTGTATATAGTCGAAAACTTTAACACCGCTGACGGGGTGGTGACAGCTGCTGTCGCACATCTTGGTTGCCAGAAAGCGTTCCCGCAACCTATGTACGCACTTGCAACCGCATCGTATGGATTCTGTCCTTTCTGGACCACGGCAACAGCACTTGGAAGACCCTGTACAACCGAGAATGATGTGCTGCGTGATACGACGCCAGTTGTTGAGATCACATCGACCACACGCGACTGCAAAAGGACAAGCATGATCGCTCCAGGGAGATTTTGTCCAGGATTGCTGTTCGTGTTGAGGTTGCTGATGAAGGTGCATTGGCCATTGACAAAAGACGATGCAAGACAGCTGGCACTGAAAGAGCAAGCGTTGCTGCAAGCTGTGGGATTGGTGTATCCAGTCTGAGAGGTGATGTTGCTGCTTGCTGGGTATGATTGGTTGCACAAGATACCATACTCTGAACCAGAAGAATCAAGATAGCTGAAGCCGTTCAGTGTAGGACAAGTGATGTTCACCGGGAAAGCCACATTTGTGCCGGTATTTGAAGCAACGTTCGTGAATGTCGAAAAGTATGTGCAGAGGCCTGAGGAAATCACGTATGTGGTTCCGATACAACCGGATACAGTCCTGCATGAGTTGACACAAGAAGCAAAGTCAGCCTGTGTATTTGACGTGACAGGCACGCGCGAAACCGGTTCACGGTTCATTGCAAGCCCATGCAAGCCGTATTCGTGGAGGGCACGCTTTTGAGATCCTCCATCAGTGTTGCATTGAATCTGGTAACCATTGCCGTTCTGATCAGTGTAATATGTTCCATCATCATCAGGACATGTGAAGACTGCCGAAGACCTAGAAATGGAACCAGAAGGTACAGAAGATGAAGACGGCGCCGCTTGACTTGCTGACGAACTTGTGCCGGATGATTGCAATGAAGGTGTAAGAGTTACTCCAACATATGCGGAACCGACAATGGATGAGAAGGATGCGCTGGTTGATGTCAGACTACTACTCGGTGCAGCACCGAGATCAGAACTAGGGGTTGTAGTCGTGGTAGTGGTTACTGTTGTCGAGAAAAATGAAGGGGTCAATGTGACTCCGACATATGCAACACCGACTGAGGATGAGTACGATCCGCTCAAGGAGCTGGAAGAGCTAGACGTGGCAGCTGGCAAGTCGCTTGGAGTGGTTTGCGAAGACGAACTCAGAACGGGGACCGACCCTGTTGATGAGGTTACCGTACTCGTGACTGTACCGGGCGTTGGAGTGAGATATACGGTTCCCGAAGATACAATCAAAGTATTTGCAGTCGACGTGGTTTGGATGGGGTTGACTGCAGAAGACGAATTGGAGCTGGTGGCGATTGATGAGAACAGAGAACTGCTGCTGGTCACAGAATGTAAACTCGAACTGCTGGCGATCAAGGACACACTACTGCTAGATAGCGTCAACAAAGATAAACTGCTGGAAGAAGTTATATCTCGAATCGTCAACGTCGTTGCGGTTGTTGGCGTCGTAGCCGTGGTCGGTGCCATCGCAGTAGTTGGAGTGATTTCAATTGTTCGGGTGGTCGCTGTTGTGGGTGTCGTCACTATCAATAGAGTTGTTGCCGTTGTAAGAGTCGTGGCTGTCGTAGGTATAGTTGCTGTGCTCGGACTGGTTGCCGTCAATGGGGTCGTGGCTGTTGATGGAGCTGTTACCGTTGTAATAGTCTCTTCCGTGATAGGTATAGTTGTCGTTGTAAGAGTCGGCTCTCCTGTAGGTATGGTTTCCGTTGTTCTTGTTGCCGGAGTGATTGGAATTGTCAAAGTGGTTGGAGCGGATATCGTTGTGGAACTCGCGATAGTCAATTCCGTTGATTCCATCGTCTGAGTATTTACTGTCGTAGGAATCAGTGCTGTCATGGGTACTGTTGGTGTTGTGCCCGTGGTTGGTGTGGTGGCTGTCGTGGGTGTGGCCAAAATTGAGCTCAGCGAAGATGGAATTGACGACGAAACTGACGACGATCGAGACGACGAGACGGATGACGAGCTTGATGATGAAAAGCTCGAGCTAATGATGGACGAAATGGATGCAACGCTTGATAAGCTCGAAGCAACTGCAGAGGCAAGGTCTGCAGAAATCGATATGTCCGAGAAAACCGACGACGAAACACTCGAGCTGCTTGATGAAGATACACTAGAGGAAGAGGAGCTTGACGAAGAAGATAGGCTGGAGCTAATCGAGCTGGATGTCGAAGAAATGCTAGATGAAGTTACTGAAGCCTGGCTTATCGAGACCCCCTGAGCGTAGGATGCCAAAGAGGATATTGAGCTTGATACTGACGACGAACTGGACGGAGATAGACTCGAACTGACTGAAGAGCTCGATGAAGAGGACGAGGATGATATTGAACTGATTTGCGAAAGTATGGAGGCCGATGCCACGTCCGCTGACGACGCTATATCCGAGGTAATCGACGACGAAACGCTGGAACTGCTTGAGGATGAAGCACTTGATGACGATGAACTCGATAGGCTTGAGCTGACTGAGCTGGATGTTGAAGAAATGCTGGAGGACGTTGCCGAAGCCTGGCTTATAGAGACGCCCTGTGCATAAGAAGCCGACGACGATATTGAACTCGATACCGACGAAGATAGACTTGAGCTGACTGAAGAACTGCTCGAGCTTGAAGAAGAACTGCTCCCCGAAGAAATCGAAGCCGAAGCCACGTCGGCCGAAAATGAGACATCTGACGATACCGACGATGAAAGGCTTGAGCTACTGCTGCTTGATTTTGACGATGACGAGGAGGAACTGCTGGAGGAAACGCTGGACGAGGTTGCTGAGGCCAAGCTTGCAGAAACCCCTTGAGCATAAGACGCAGAAGACGACATCGACGACGAAACCGACGAAGACACGCTAGAACTACTAGACGAGCTTTGCGAGGATAGACTGAGCTTACTGAAGAGCTGCTTGAGCTGGATGAAGAACTGCTCCCTGAAGAGATCGAAATCGAGGCGAAATTTGCTGAAGACGAAACATCTGACGATATTGATGAAGAAACGCTCGAGCTGCTCGATGAGGAGACTGACGAGCTCGATGAAGATGAAACTGAAGATGACGAGGAGGAAGAGAAGCTACTGGAAGATATCGAGGCTGCTGTGACTTGTCCTGCGGAAACCGAAGCAAAAGACGATGTAGAGGATGAAAAACTCGAGCTGCTGGACGACGACACACTCGATGATATTGAAGAACTGCTGCTGCTGCTAGCAGAACTGGATGAGCTGCTACTGGATGAAGAACTTTGACTCGAGGAAATCGAGGCTGTGACTTGGCCGACGGAACTGCTCAGAAGGGAAGACGCCGACGACGAAACTGAAGAAGAAGAACTTGAGCTGGATGACGAAGACTGCGAGCTGCTAAGTGAGGAGGATACTGAGCTGCTAGAACTGGATGAAATGGAACTGCTGCTTGATATGGAAGCAGTGATTTGTGCGGCCAGGCCACTCGCTTGAGATGAAGATATTGAAGACGACGAGCTGGATGAAACCGAGCTTGAGCTCGATGAAGATTTACTGCTGGAAATCGAAGAACTGCTGGAACTCGAAAAACTGCTGCTGGAAGATATTGATGCCGAAATCTGGCCGGCGGTGCTGCTTGCGGACGAGGATATGGAAGATGACGAACTCGAGCTAAGGCTGCTAGATATTGACGAGGAAATGCTACTGCTGGCGCTGGAGCTGCTCGAACTGGAACTTGATGAGGATACAATGCTGCTGAGAGAAGCAGAGGCTGTAGCTTGTCCAGCGAGGTTGCTTGCGGTCGATGGAATCGACGATGACAAACTCGAGGATACGGAATTGGAGCTGCTAGAAGATTGTGAACTGCTCGCTGAGGAAGATAAACTTGAACTGACGCTGCTGCTGGATGAGGAAGATATCGAGGAGGAGGAAGACGCTGAAGCGGTGACACCCCGGCGGAGCTACTTAGCAGAGACGACGCCGACGAGGAAACTGAAGATGAGGAACTTGAGCTTCGGGACGAGGATTGCGAGCTGCTGGAGGACGATGACAGGCTGGAGCTGACGCTGCTACTACTTGAAGAACTTGACGAGCTTGATATAGATGCGGTGGCGCCTGCCCCTGAGCTGTGGAGTATCGACGAGGCCGAGGAAGAGACGCTGCTGCTGCTTGACGAGGACAGCGACGACGATACGCTGGAGCTGCTGCTGCTGGAAACTGAAGAACTGGCACTGGATGATGAGGATGATGGGAGCGAGCTTGAGGTCGACGTGGTGGTGAAGCCGGTGTAGATGACGCTTCCAGCAGAGTTCGTGGTGTAGCCAGTGGGATAGACGGTAGTAGTGACGGTGACGGGACAGGAGGAGGTTTCTAGCGGGTAATGTCAGCTTGCTTGTTTGGTGGCATCGAGGAGGGTGAACATACGTGTCGACGTAGTGGTTGTCACTTGGCCAGTGACTTGCGACGAAAGAGCCAGCAAGGCCAGCAGGAAGGGCTTGCCAAAGTGTCCCATCTTTACGGCGATGACGGATAGACAGACCCAAGCGCAAGGAAGAGCGTTTGTCTTCGACCAGAATGCCCACAAAGACGGCCGGGAGAGGAAGCCAAAAGAGGTTCAAAAGCGTGCCAGCCCGAGGGCCATCGGGTCAAGGGAAGACTGTCGGATGCATTGTGTATCCGCAAGGAATGTAGGCGTTGCTGTTTGGATTGGTCGATGGAAATGTGAGTTGGCAGCCCTAAAGTTCCCAGTGTTGAATAGGAAGCCGTGGCATTGCGAGAGACGTCGCAGGGGTGACCTGCTTCGAAAGCTCGCGGAAGCTCGTTAGTGTTGAAGGGAAGCTATCCGATATCAGAGCTTACTCTCGCCGACCTACCTTGCGAGGTATACATGATGGTGATGTTTGGCGTCAGCATTCCATCGACGGTCGCCTTCCGGGACATTGGCAACCCAGGAACGTGGTCAGGCGGGCCGTGATAAGATAGTAGGGGATGAGATGACGATATCTGCGTGCCTGAGAGCCTCATGGCGTTGAAAATAAAGGCGGCATTGTGCAGTGTTGTTGAAGACAGAGCGTTGAAGGGAAGCAAGGCATGGCTGCCTGGAGACACGCGCGGCCAGATCCGTATTGTGCCTGCCTTTTTCAGGACCAGATGCGTTTTGCAGACATGCGATGTTTTTAGGAAATTGACGACAGCATCCTGTTAGTCAGCGTCGACTTGATGCAGATAATGCAAGAGAGCAAACTATTGCGGCCAATGGCAATTGCGAGGTCATGTAATTTGTCATCAAGAGGCGGCGCGACAAACAAGTTTGGACTGCTCTTGCCTGGGGTTGACACCAAGGCCACTCATCAAAAGAGAAGATGTGCTGGGAAAGCTGAAGTCAATCCATCACAGTTTCAACACCCATCGTGCTCGGTGTGTCGGTCGGGTCGCAAAGGTCTGTGACTCGGTACGTCCGAAAAAAGTAGGTACGCATGAGCTGTCCAGATGCCGGTGCAACCGAGATTTGTCCGTGCATGCTGTGCCGGCCACCCTGATTTGTTATCAAACGTCACTTGCTACTTTTCTTCATGCATGGAACAGTTTTACGGGCAAGAGCACTAAGACGTCGAATCGACCAGCATGGAGAACTCTACTTGTTGCCCCAGCAAGCTTTGCGAACTTTGTTCTATGGAGAGATGAGTTTGCTTACCGAGCAAGCAGATTACTGTCATCGTGTTGATTTGCTACAGATCAGATCGACTAACATCCGCTCGAGGGTACGGGTGTAATCGGCTAAGAACGACCCCAAAGAATGGATGCTAGGTCATCCAATGTGGTTAGACTCCGAGGTGGCCACTACACGACACAACTCCCTAAACGTGACACACCCCAACTTCACACCTCAGACCATGGGCAATCACTTGGGTGCGCAAGCAGCCAAGTTTACGTCAAGCATAATGTCCGGCTTCCCCGGTGGCTATGGTGGTGGCCAGGGTCATGAAGAATCTCAAGGTGATGGGCGTGACAGAGGCTATGGGGCTGTCAGCCGAAGCCGTGGCGGGTCTTGCGGTGGGAAACAAAGACGCAGCGGTATGGCAGTCCTTCACGATACGCAAAATGCTTAGAAGAGCTTTATGGTATCGAAAGGAAACTGTGCAATGTCGGAGCTTTGCCTCGCTAATGTACCTTGTCAGGTGTACATTATGGTAATATTCGGTGTCGAGGACCCATTAAGTGTTGCCCCTTAGGAAAGCGGCAACTATGAAACGTAGTGACCCGACCTTGATAAGATATAGGGAGATGAGATAACAAAGTCAGTGTGCCCAATAGCCTCATGGCGATGAAAGTAAAGGCATCATCTTGCAGCGTTGTTGTGGAAGGACTTGGTGGTTCCTGTGATTGGAGGACTCTTGGCGCTAGTGTGAAGCATTCATTCACAAACATCTTCCGCTGCGTCTATTGACTCTATTTTCCGATGCGCGCACTTCTTAGTCTTTTTTACAATCAACACATCAAGCACATCATCACAATGGCAAAGAAATCAAGATTGGATTGGATCGTCTGTGATGATCGATCAGACTACAGCGACTCATATGCCGATACCGTGGCCACTGAGGCTGAGTCTGTGGAGAGTGATTTCTACGAAGACTACGAGGACTCCAGCAACGGCGAGGCCAGCGACTTTGTGGAGGATGACGAGGGGGAAATTGGAACATCACATAGCGATGATGAGGACATGCTGTTCAGCGATGAGCATGGTGTGGACGATTAGTCACATGCGCTCTTTCTCGAGACCTTACGAAGGCTCGCTTTTTTCTCGAAACCTTACGAAGGCTCGCTTGTTCTTTCTTGTTCGTTGTTCCTTAGACCCCGCTGTCGAGCAGGAGTCAACCTGCCCAGAGATCACTTCAGCGAAAGCTCTCACACCTTTACGCGGTGCTGAAGATGAGTACGCCGGTTGCAGCTACAGCGATCGAGTGGAAACCAAGATGAGAAGCACCCAAATACATCAGTGTAATCGTCAATATCGACCTGCCTTTGTACCCCTTGTTCTTGTTGCTTTTCCTTGTATGTAGATACGCCGAATAGAGACAGTAATAGAATTTTTACCCAAAGCCGAACCTAACGAAGTGACTCTATTCGCACGACTGAATGTATGGAGATGATGGGTGGAAAAAAGTGTTTGTCAGACTTGCCTTGGAAGAACAAACGCTCGGCTACCTGCTTCTTTCCCTTGTATCGGGTTGCCGTGACCGTCCATATCCAAAGCCAAAAGGAAAAACACAAAGACACGAACAAGTTGAAAGCTAGCAGGATACGACGGTCCAAAATCAACGTCCGCATTGACACAAACTCAGCCTCCCGAAGTTCCAAGCGTGAGGAATGATTCGTAGACACAACACCGATCTCAACTCTGCATGGCTCCAAAAGCCCAAGACTTGAAAAGGGATAAAACCTTTCCGACCGAGATTGGTATTACTAGAGAAAGAGAATACTAGAAAAGGAGGAAACCCTAATATGAGCAAAAGATGACTCAAAATGGAATGATATAGCAGAAAAGATATCGTTGCAATGCAGAAAAAACATCTACTTCCCACTTCCCACTTTTCGCCCACAGAGATGCTATAGATAGAGCAGCACCATCTCTGCGGACAAGTCATAAAGTGTAGACAATATTCTGCATTTTCATAGCATTACATACACTTTTCAGCCTGGAAGAGAGTGATCACAGGCTCCTGTCTCTGAATTCCCTATCCATGACTCTTGCATCACCCTCCCTACCCATCACTCTCCCATCCCTGCCTCTAGCTATCTCCTCTACATTGCCGTTCTTCCTCTACCTTCTCTCACTTGTCTAAACTGCGATGTCGTTACCTATCTTCCCCTCATCTAAGTTGCAATATCGTTATTTACATCTTCTCGAACATCGACCTCATTGCCGACTTTACCGTGTCCAATATTTATACCCGAGTAACATGGATACAAAATCCCAGATTGGCCGGAGTAATAACCGCGAGCACGCTTACGCTTGTGTCTGCGATTGTCGTGTTTGAGGGGAGAGAAGAATATACCACTGGCTGCAAGTGTTGGGATTATCCATGTTGGAATTTTTTGCTGTTGCAAGATTCTGTTCCTTGTGAACTCCTTACTTTTGACTGTATCTCACGCTGCCAATGTAGAAAACCCTACAGTCATGGAAACGCGAAGAGTTTTCCACTGAGGGTCGGATGACCTTGGAGATATCTCGGATTGTGATATTTCAATTCCTTCTCAATAAAAATAATCTTCCAGTCTTTCATCTTCAATAGTAACCCAATACACATCTCAAGCATTCCTAGCCACCTCGAGTGCAGCTCTCAACTCGTCAGGTCTGGGCTTACCACCCCTGGTAATAACAACAGCATCCACACTTCCCGCCCTGATGATCTTGACAAAGTTCCTTGCAACTTCTCGCGCCATGATGCTCAAACACTTCTCTCCCTCCTCGGCAGAAATGGGATTCCTCAGCGAATTTTGCAGATGCGAAAGCAGTACTCTTGTCGAGAAACTTGCTCGCGCACGGCCATTGGACAGCACATCCAGCACCTCGACGATATCAGATATGCGGTCGATGGCAGAAAGACGAGCGAGGTGGGCAGAGTCTGGTGCGGCGGCTTTGTTGGCATTGGCGGCTTGCTTGGCGAGGATGCGGTCGAGGAGGTTGGCACCACGGCTGGCGACTGCAGCGTCAGACTTGGCAGAGGGTGCGACGAGGGGCTTGCGGGCGGAGGCTTGGGCAGCGCGGGCGGCGAGGGCAGTGGCTTTGATGTCTTGGAGGCGCTGGGAGCCTTTGGTGAGGTGGGTGGGATTGCTGGGAGCGACTTGGCTGGTGATGATGTTGACGGTGGGGAGTTGGGAGAGGAAGGCTTGAATGTTTGAGCGGGCTGATGGTGATGAGGATGTCCATTGGTTCCAGAGTGCGGACAGGCGGTTGTGGAACTGTTCAATCAACTCGGGCTGGTTGAAGTGGCCGGTTGTAGAGTAGTTTGTTTCGAGCAGCTCGATGCAGAGACTTCCTTCGCCGTTGTCGGCCAACTCGAATGTGTTGTTCTCTCCAAGGATTCCAAGGATTGTGTACATGTCGGCCTCGGTGACGGCTCTTGTCCTCCAACTCCTCGTGACGTGTGGTAATAAGTTAGTGATGTACATTGGGGTGCCGAGGCCATTGTGGGCACAGTATAATGATGTGCTTGTGAGGAATGCTGTGAACAGTCGTGTCAGGTCTTGTAGTTGGCTAGGCAGTTCGGTGGTCGGTAATGATGATCCGAGAGTCTTGAAGGCGCGTGGAGTGAGCGGAGGTGTGTCGTAGACAGTCTCTTGTGCTGAGTTGGTCGAGGCAGGAGCGGCGTGGTCGAGAATCAAACGCTCAAACAACTTGGAAGCACTTTTGGACGGCGTCTCTGCAGGCGTTGGTGGTAAAGCGTTCCTGAACCTCTTGTTCTGCGGTGTCGTGACTTCCTCTTCTTCTGTCTCCCTTGACCGCTTCTTGGATTGTGTCGTCTTCAATTCTCCATCCTGCTCTTTCTGTCGCGTGCTTCTCTCCTCGGGTGTGCCGTTCGGTAATGATGATGATAACGTATCAATGGTGACTGTATCCAATATCTTGCGCTTCTTTGCACTCTGGTCTGCTTTCTGGCTCTTGGTGACGCGTCCATAGGTATTGATGGTCTTTTGGCTGGCGATGGTGCTTTGTTTGGCCGTGTCGGGGCTGACGGCCTTGCGTTTTCTCGTGACAGGCATGATAGTGGATATGCTATGATATGATATGCTTGATGATGGGCGAAGGATGATCTGAGTAGAATATTAACAAGCAATGGCAATATCTTAATGTCCTTGGATCAATCAATGACGACCAAAACAAAGGAACGTGGATGCGGTGGCCCGGTGATGCGCGTCGTTCGTGTCAGATGCGCGACCGCGTAGAGTGTCGCCAAGCTTTTGAGATGGGGTTCACATCAAGCCAGGGTTTCACTTCCGGACATCCTCTGACACAAAACTCAAGAATTGGACAGACACAAGCACCACGAGTAGAGCAAATGAAAAAGACAAGATGGATGGAATCATTATTTAGTTGGTCATTCCGCAGCCTAGGGTTATTCTTGATAATATAGTACAATCGCTGAAAGTGCTGATGAAGGGAAGATTATAAAGTGTTCATGCCGTCGTCGTCAAAGGCAGACAAGCTTTACTTGCCGCCGAACCAGCTGGAGAAGCCGCTCTTTGCCTTTTCGGCATTGACCTCAACACTAGCCTTTGCGTTGGCAGCGGCATCACCGACCTTCTTGTCAAAGGTGTCGACGGCGCTGTTAAACTCCTTGTTGGCCTCCTTTCTGTACTGGTCGATGTTCTTTTCGGCGTCGGCGCGGTACGACTCGAACTTGGCGTCGAACTCGCGCGTCTTGTCACGGGCGTCCTTGACCNNTGGCATGAGTCTTAGTATTTGAATCGAACAAGGTGAGGCGCATGTCCAACTCACGGCGTGGTCAATCTTCTGGCCAATCTGCTCGCCGTAGACCTTTGCCTCGGTCTTGAGCTCCTTGGCGCGGCCGGGCAGCTCATCTCTCGCTGAGGAAGACAGGCGGGCAGCGTCATCTGGAGAAGAGTTAGCGACATGATCAGAACTGGAGGAAATGATATACGTACGCTCCATCTGCTTCTCGGCAACCTTGGGGCTACCGCCAGCTCTGTACATGTAGTAACCACCAAAGGTGGCGGCACCGAGGCCGGCAATGAGGGGAAGACGGGATCTAGCGGCCATTGTAGAGGTGTTTGTATGTGAATAAGGTGGATTGGTATTGGTAGAAAGTCTGGTGGTATCAAGAATCGAAGAAAGAAGCAGGGAGCAGCGGTATTTGTTTGACAGGAGCTCGTCGAGAAACAGGGAGCTCTCAGCCACAAGAGCATAGTTTCGGTGACGCAATGTGACGTACGTCGCGTTCATTGGCGCACATCTCCCGTCCCCGCAATGATCGACGCCAGAACTTGCCCGTTTCGAGTCTGTCCAAGATGCCAACTCGAGGTCGGAGCTGAGACGACGAATGTCACGACGCCGACACTTTCAAGGCAGCTCAACATTGGAAATCATGTCCTTTCAATAAAGAGGATGGCCGCGTCTGAGCATCATGTCGACTACAGATCCGCCCACAGACTCGACCCCCGAACGAGGCAGCTCGAGCACCCTGCCAGACTCGTTCCCTCCCCAGCCCTCACGTAGGACGACAGCCCAGCAAATCACCCTTGTCGATCGCACAGATCCCGACAATCCAGAAATCCAAAACCCTGGCCAAGTCCAAGACGACGACGACACACCCNCTGAATCTGCCTCCCTGTCTAGAAGATGGACAAAGCAGTCATTGACCGGCCATGCCCAGTCACTCCAAGGCTCGGTCCAGAGCCGCATGACTTCGCGCAAATATCGCCATTACCGGGAAGGGAGATTTATAGGTCCCGATGACCCGGACAACCCTTGCTCCGCCGACGACCTCTCAAGCGCTACCGCCCCTGGCAAGGTCAAACGAGGAAAGGACAAAGTACGAGGTCTGCTGGGTGCCCGGAAACAGATGAAGCTTGCCTTGGAGGAAGACGCCGTCATTGATGTCCTGTACGAAAACCAACGAGGCTGGTGGGTCTTTGGCGTCCCACACTTTTCCTCAAAGACACTGCTCAACTTCGACCCCAAACCCTGGCTGAATGGTAATAAGAAGCCAAGCCCCGTCAACATCACAAACGCTCAAGTCCCGGATCCTAGCTGGGAGTGGGCTTGGAAGTCCTGGTATGTCGACATGTCTCGAGACGTTGACGAAGAGGGATGGGAATACTCGTTCTGGTTCAGCGAAGGCACAGCATGGCATGGCACACATCCTTGGGGCTACTCTTGGGTAAGGCGAAGGAGATGGCTACGGAAGCGAGTGCGGAAGCAACCACAAAAGCCTTCTCAGCAAGGACATGCCTTCACCTCCGAATACTTCACCATCCACCCTCCCAAGGCTTCCAGCAGATCCAGCAGTTTTGTTTTCAGCACCGAAGCGCGACAAAACTTGGCCAAGGCGGAACACTATTTGGAAGATCCCGAGGATGTGCGCGACATTGCTTCTCTACTCAACAGTCTGAAGAGAGCAGCCATTGATCGTGAGAAAATTGTTCTGGTCCGCCACTTCATCGACAATGGTGGAGATGATCTTCACTATCTGGGCGAGCAAGTGTGTTGTCTTGATCAATCTTCCTAATTCATCGGCTGACAAAGTTCTCAGATGGAAACAATCATGTCTCTCTGTATCTTCCAAAACTCCCGCCGCTACATCCTTACCATGCTCTCCGAAAAACTCACCGCTGCCGAAAAACTTCGCGATGAGCACACCGCTCACAACGAAGAGATATCAGCCCAAGAACAACAAAAGATCACAAACCTGGAGACTGCAATCTCTGCTGCGGACGAGCAAGTCAAACGTCTGGAATACTGGAGTGACGTCCGCGATATGGCTCGAGCAGGCACAACATCCTTCGCCACAGACGCCAATGTCTGGGGATATGCCAAGTGGCGAGGACTAGACGCTTCAGGTCCAGAAGCTGATGACAAGAGCACGGCAAAGGAGAAGGGCAAAAGTTGGAAAGAGGTGAAGAAAGAGGTTAACGGTCAATTGAATCCCAAAGACAGCGTCGTTGATGGGCATGACGAGAAACACAAGACAAACAAGGATGTCAAGATTGACGGCCATCTTGCCGAGTCGAGCGAGGAGTATTATACCACGGCTGCAGAGGATGGGCCTAAAGACAAAGGGAAGCAACGCGCGGAATAATTGGTAGGCCTCTTGTTTTTTCTTGCGACATTATAGCATCTTCATTTTCCTTTGTACAGTATTGCTTCATTTGTCTCTATTTTCGTCAGAGTGTTTACTCAAAGGTAGTGCAAGAGGAAGGTACGGTCGACCAGTGTCTTGGCATCTCGAGTGCCCATCTGCAATCTCGCTTGACTATACCAAGAAAATTAGCCCCTCCATCAGTCATTTTTTCACAAGCTGGTCACGTCTTTGCTAGACCATCACATCATATCCACAGCAAAATGCCCATTCTTGGTTTTGCTCTGGACTCGACCCAACGGTGCCAAGGTCCCCACAACTCACAGATCACACCCATCTCTTTGCTGGGACTCTTTTCAATGACCACTAACACCAAGAAATTGATCCTAGCCGTCAAGAGTATGGAATCACTCCGCTCGCAATCTACAGATTGGTTCCAAAGGAATCTGGTCCTGTATGAGGATGACCACTTTGGGGAACAAGAAAATAGGATGATTCAGAAGAATGATGGTCTGGATGGGGTCGCTTGGCTACAATTCTCAAGCATGTTTATCGCGACTAATCTGCTACCCATCTCAAACTCTCAAAAACAGGCACAAAACCAAGCAAGACGAGGCACAGGTAAGAGTAAAGTGTCTACAAGATGCCATTTCGCACTAACGAGTGATCAAGGTAGCGACAGTGTAACAGACACATTCAGATCATCCTTCCGTCTCCCATACTCATGATCGAATGATGCCCCATCCAAACATGACATCCCCTTCTGCATCTCCGACCTCGGCCTAATATGGATCCAGCCACTTGGCCCCGAAAACATCTAAGAAACAGTGACACTGGCACTGCCAGTACCGGAGAAAGCCTCGACAGCCAAAACCTGGAAGTTGTACGAGTTGCCAAAGCCATACTTGGCCCAGTAGGCAAAGTGGTTGCCAGTGGTGACGGTGCCCGAAGTGCGCTTCTGCTGGCGAACACTCCAGTATTGCTTGAAAGTAGAGGTTCCAGTGATGGAAGGCTGGTTGGTGCGGGTATCGGTGCAGACCGTGTAGACACCACCATCACTGGACACGGTGCCGAGTTGAGTGACACCACTCTGTCCAGCACCGCAAGGGTTGTACGAGCCATACGACTCGACAATGTAGTACTCGGCCTGGGGAGAGTTGATCCAGCCGTACACGGACAGGTAACTGCCTCCACTGGCAGTGTATTGCGAGGAATAGGTGATGGAGCGAGCGGCGCCGGTTGCCCAACCCAGACCGACGACAAAGTCGCCGCTGACGCCGTTGTTCCAGTACATGGAGTAGGTGCCGGCATTCTCGTTGTAGGTGAATTGACCGAGGTTGCCGTTGTAGTTTTGGACGTAGTTGATGCCGCCGGGGCCGGCACGCTCGATCTGTGGGGTGTTTGGTTAGTGAGATGATCTGGGCGGAAGGGGCTCTGGGAGGGTGCGTACGAGCATGGGGCTGCTGGCTTCAGCTTCGGCCTCTGCAACTGGGGCAGCGACAGCTGCAACCGCGAGGGCGGCGATGGTAGCGAAGAACTTCATATTGGAGGGTGTTGGAAGAGTTGATCGAGTGAATGTGGAGTGATGTGTTGGAATGAGTTTGCTGATGGTAGAGAACAGAGCTGGTCATCACTCCCTCTTATATCTTTTCTCTTCCGCAACACCATTTACCCGTCCTCTTTGCTAGACTTGCCATCGGCTTCTCCGCCTGATGTCGAGTGCATCTTGGCGAAAGCAGATCAAAGGTGTGATGACAAGTCAAGCACGACATCTCGCTTGGATATGTTGCACACAAGAGTTGCTGTATCTGCAATGGCGCCGAACTCGTTTTACCCGGACGTTTTTCTGCAAAATGGTATACCTCAAAGTATGGCTATACAAAGAAAAGCGTTATACGGCCGAGTAGCTTGAAACAAGAAACTGTATATCGTCTCGCTGCATGCCCATGCAGCAACCCCCCACCTTAGCCGTCTGCGGGAAAGAATGTGGGGGTTTTTGTGTGTAACTCTAATCTCCATTCGTTGGGCTGGAAAGCAACATTCACATCTGCAAATCGCCAGTTCGAGTCTTTGTTCGCACTCGGCTTTTTTGGATTTGATGCGCGGGTATGCAGATATAAATTGGCTGACCTCCCGGCTTTGACATGCTACTTGCGGGAACGCGGAAAGATGGAGTGCGAAGTCGGTGTTATGCGGCCTTCTATACATGCTATTGGTAGGCGTTGTGAGCACCCCACAGTGTGAGGCTGGCCTCGGCTCTCGCCTGAAACACACTACTGTATAAACAGCAGATGAACCAGCAGATGGTGGAGGCTTGTTCAAGCTTGTTGATTCTTGGTTGATCTGCACCAAGACAATCAAGCATACCCACGAGGCAAGCCAGATCGACTTGATCTCTGGGCATTTTGAACCTCTTGTCTGATCGTCGAAACATAACAGGAAGTAGACACTATAAGGTCACAACTTTGGCACCGCAAACATTTCACATTTTGCAGTAATGGTAAAGATGACTCGGATTTTGTTGTTCTGAGATCGAAACAATGGCAAAATGGCAATAGGCGGCTAAAGGGAAAAAGCTTACAAAGAGCAATGTTGTATATAGCCCTGCAATGAGGTAGTCTATTGACGATCACCCCGCATTGCCGAACACGTCAACGCGTCTTCCATCTCCACACCTTTCTACCCTTCTATATTATGTAACACAGCCAAATATCGCGTTCAATCTGACTCAAGTGTTGTTCGGTCTAATGTGAACGAGAAGGCAGGAAGAACGTGACGCGGTACATCGTCTTGCCGGCGTAGAATGGCGCCTAGCCGACACGCCTCCAGTGTTTCCAGGCCTGTTACAAATCTCAACATAGCGACGTGCATAGCAGGCGGTGTCAGCAACCATGAATACATGCCTTCATGATATGCGAGGGCAATAGCAGGTACAGCCATGTGGTGACAGCATGTGGAACAA